CGTGCGGTTGTGCAGGCGGCCGGATGTAACTGCCACTGTACTTCGTATCAAGACCGGGAACGGCGAACCCTCGTCGCGCAGTTCCATAGAAGTCTCAAAATACAATCCTAGCACACCCCAGCTTGATTCCCTGGCATATGTGAGATATCTGTCGCTAATCAAAAGTTCACTATGCGCTTGTATTGACTCTGTTGTTCTTACACAGGGCGCATTCCCTGATACCATATACGATGCTGGCGACGCTCAGGGTCATCTACAATCTGACACTGCTGACGACGCAATGTGGAGCCATTACACATCGAATGAGTTGGCTTCGGAAATTAGATCCCGCATCAAATTTACGGAGCGGTCTCCGTCCAGGCCACTAGAGGCCATTCTGGAGAGTGTGACTGTGGCCACTGACGGCAAGCCCCAAAGCCGATTGCTGTTGGTGGCAGGACGTTCTAGGCGTCTGTCATCCGGGCACGAAGTAGAGTTACGCCACCTGTGCGCGAAGAGCGGCGTTGCGGTAGATTTGGAGATATTCAAGGCTCTGGGTCATGTAGCGGCTGCAATGGTTGTGGGCCAAGTTCCTGGAAGTCTGCTTGTACTGCAAGCATCCACGAAGTGACTGGAGCATTCATCTATTATAGTATAATTATTCTGTTATATGGACTTTTGGAGTCGGACAAAACACGATGAGATATCCGCGATGGAAGGTGTTGTTAGTTTGCCTTATTCTGGACCGAAGGTAGACACGCGTCTTGAATTTCTCGCATTTGCGCGGAGTACATCACGGTCAGGTGACCGCGTCGCAAGTGTTGAGACGACGTTCTTGTTCCTCATTCAGCGAGTCTCTTGTGCTGAGTCTCTGTTGCTCGCGACGGTACGCACACAAGGAGCCAGTGGGTGAGTTAAAAGCGAGGCGAGCTGGGGTGAACATGCGTTGTTGATGTCGGGGCCCGCCTCAAGAATATTCTATCTGCAAGTCAACGGTAAGCATCGCGCCGTGGGCTGCCCCGAAAGATCCGGCTAACGAGCCTGGCTATTTCCGCTCTTCATCGCCGTGCGGCGTGCTCAACCGATTTGAACACTCAGACGCCGCATGGCAGGCGAGCAATCGCTGGAACGGCAACCACCCTCCAGCATGACGCCTGGACGGAAACGGCCCTGTTGTCGCACATGCGGCTCGCCCATGGCGGGGCACAGGCGGCCCAACGGGTCGCCCATCTGTCCTGCTCGCAGTACTTCTGCCTCTCTAGAGCCCCAGCTCGAGCGAAGCTTCAGGGCTCTCAGACGTAACAATGCCAAATCTGACCTCGAGGTCCCACCGTCGGGGTTTTTGCATCACCGAAATCCCAATTGGGTGGAACAAGATTCGATACCTCCCGACGATGACAGATGGAGCCCGACGTCGTGGGTCTCTACCGAACCAGTCGATGAGAGCGACAGGGACGGCTTTGACGACAGCAGCGACATCAGCATCAGCGATATCAGCGTTGAAGATAGCAAAGACATGGGGGAGGATCTGGGGCTGCCCGAGACGCCAAGTCGGGCTTCCTCCGTGTTGTCGCGTACGCTCTCGCAGGTGCTCGGAAAGAGCAAGCCGCTCGCCAGTTTATTCAGCACGCCCAGCGAGGACCTGGCAGCGATTAGTCAAGCAGCGCGCCGCCACAGACTGGCAATGGGCATCATGCGTAGCCCCGCGGCTGCGCGAGGCACGCAGGTGAAACTGGAGAATGATTTTGCATCTGGGGCCAATGCGGGGCGCCAGAATGCGTGGTGGGTGGTCATGGGGCGGGATCCGGACGCGGTGTCTCATCTGCTAGGTCGTCACGAGCAGGGCGCGCGTGGTCAGCAGGGCGACTGCTTAGATGGAAATTGGCATACAGGCACCCTCCCGCCACACTCGCGTTTCATGCACACCTCTTTCTTGGAACTCATTTTCGCAGGCGCAGTCGGCGGACTCCTCGTCTTCTGTGGCCTCTCTGTCATCTAGCAAGTAGTCTCGGGTGGCCACGAACAGCGGGGTTCCCCGGACACACTATGCAATCTATGTGTAATATCTATGTAGTATGTCATACATATGCTAAATCGAAAGTTCGAAACGCCCGTCCTCTTGCGCCCGGCCGCCGCCAGTGATTCAGGAATAGCGAGCCAAGCGGTCCCAATCAAGTACTCCCAATACATAAGGCCCTTTGCTCCGGCCAGAGTCTGCCATCCAAACATGTCCTATCTACTCAAGGGAGGCTCCATTGCGACTTTCGTCGACGGCTCCAGCCAGCCCAAGTGCTACACGGCCGACGTCCTCGTCGAGGACACAAAAATCACTCAGATTGCCCCAGACATTGTGGCTGGGCCGAATGTCGAGGTCATCGACTGCCAGGGCAAATGGATAACCCCAGGCATGGTCGACACACATCGGTCAGGACTAGTGCATCTGGTGTAACAATTCATCCTGACACTGGGCACTCGCAGACATCTTTTCATGACCGTTCTGCGGGGGGAGCAGGGCGAGTAAGTATAACATATCGCTGTTGGAAAATAGCACTCACCTGAGGTCGCCTTCAGCTGGCTTCTGTCCGAGTATATCGTCAAAATGACATGGTCAGTACCCTCCCCCCTGCGTCTTGGTCCGCCCATTTGGGATGTACTCATCCCCATTTCCAATGCAGGACCATCCAACATGCGCTGACCGTGGATGAGGTCCGCATCGGACAGCTCGCTGGTTGTCTAGATGCCCTCCAGTGCGGAGTGACAACCGTCCTAGACCACTTTCATTCAGCAACAACCGCCGAGCACGCAGAAGCTTCCCTGGCGGCTACAATCCAGTCTGGTGCACGAGTCGTATGGTGTCCAGCCCGCCAGAGTGGAGCCACACAATTATTCCCCACACTTGAGTACGGCGACGAGGAAGAGACATTTAAATGGCAGATGGCCAAGCTGAAGGAATGGGGGACCAAAGATAACGGCAACCTTACACCAGATGGCAGGGTCACTCTGGGTTTGTCGTAAGTGGGAGCCGTCCCTGTGCTCCGCGAGCCGCAAATGATGACCCCGTTTGCAGGTACGATCTCATGGGAATAGGGCCCATGAGCGTGCATCAAGAGGTCATTAACTATGCGCGCGAAGTCGGCTGCAAAATAATCACTGCGCATGCCGTCAAACGTAAGTCATTTCCGCAGCTTGAAATATTGGTTCTCACCAAATTTATCACAGAGCCGAAAATCATACCGTTCCGAGACGGTGGTTTACTTGGCCCAGACGTCATTTTCTCACATTGTAACACTCTTTTCGACCACACCGACCCAGACGATGAGCACTGGGCCGCACTCAAGGACAACGATGTAGCAATCGCTTCCACGCCCGTTGACGAACTCGGAATGGCTCACGGGAACCCTATCGCATTTGAAGCTGTCCGAAGAGGCGTCAGATGCGGCCTCGGCGCGGTATGTCCACTTGTTTCCGAGATGTAACCGTTATCTGAACAACACGCAACTAGGATTGTACGTCAGTGAATGGTGGCGATATATTTACGCAAATGAGATGTGTCCTGCAATTCGTGAGAGGTGAGCTCACTTTCAACCCGTCGCAACCGCCCAATCTGACAGACAAATGCACAGCCCGAAGGCATGAACACGTCGAGCGTAACAAGCACACCCTCCCGCAATACAACAATGAGACATGTGCGGATGCCTTCAGGCTAGCGACGCTTGGTGGCGCAGAGGCATTGAACATGAGCAATATCATCGGTTCCATTGAGGTGGGCAAGAAAGCCGACATTGTGATCTTCGACACGGATTCGCCCAATCTCGCTGGTATCGACGATCCCATCTTGGGGGTCACCTTCCACGCAACGAACGCGGACGTCGAGCTTGTGATGGTCAACGGCGAGATAGTGAAGCGCAATGGCAGACTGACAAAAGTGCTATGGGGGCCTGTCGCTCGTGAGCTAAAGCAACGAGCGAACGAGGTCCGCGAACGCTTCCCCCGCGACTTCCTGGAGGCTCGCTGGAACAAGTACTACCAGGCGAACGGGGCACCCATGTTCTGAGTATAAGTGTATTATTAGTGTAAATGCTTTGTATTGTAGCTGCAAGTCGTCTTTCACATGGACTGACTGTATATTGATTGCTTTGAACGCACGAAGCTTCCTTTTGGACTACGCGAACAGCTAGATGGTCTGAGACAGTATAAATTCTTATCATTATCAATATCTCACACCTTGCACGATGGATCCATTTGTCTAGCCATGTCACGCTCAGTCCACAAACGGTATGAAAGGCTGTGGCACAGGCCATTAGTACGGTTAAGCTCGTAGTCGTAGCAGTGGCGCGTCGGAGTTGGTCGACAACGTACAAGCGAGAATACCCGACCAATTGGACTGGCGCGTTCCTCCCAACACAAGCACCCACAACGCACCCACATCGATCACAGGCAGATTGAATGTGGGAGTCCCAACATGGGGCAGATAGTTGTCGCAAGAGCCGTAGAAGTCCACAACAGAAGGATGTTCAGAGAAGTGGTGGGAGCAAAAGCGATCACTGCCGAAGCAATAACATGAGGGAGAGGTTTGATCAGAACGTGCACTCCCAAAGATCCATCGAGACCGCAGTCCCACGGCGGATCGGAACAAATTCGTCGAATTGCAACGCCATATGAATTGGGCCGCTTGGGCTGCCAGTACGTGGGGACAAGTGTACACCCCCGCTCATCACATACGGGTCCATGGTAACTGAGGGGATGAGATACAATCAGCATATCCGCCGATTGCGGGACAGTTGGGACCTTTACCGCTAGCCGGCACATGGTCAAATTCACAAATCTTAAAGCAAAAACAAGTCATCCAAATTCTTAAGCGGCGCACTGGGTGCACAAAAGACACCAAGTCGAACTACCATAACCACTGGCACCGAAAGCATCACTTTGGCCGCCCCACAAGCACCATACCGTCATCCTCCTCCGTCTCAGTTCCATTGTCAGATCGACGACTGCTCACCGTAGGTGAAGATGAAGTCTCCGAGGCCTGAGTGGATGCCCGACTCTCTGATCGTGGCTCTATTTCAATATTCCGATCACCTTCTAACAATGGGGCGGGGGTAGGCTCAACGGATAGCTCTGGGGTCACCTGAATGGAAAGTTTCTCGACCGAGGGAGGCTGAATAGTATCCGACACCCATGGCGTACTCCCCAGGTCGAGTGACTGCGAAGTGGAAGGAGCTGGAACGGATATCTCGCGGAGCGCAGCAACCATTTGCTCACGGACTCGTTCGGCGAGTTCGGGGATATCTGCGGTGGTAAGACCTTCGGTTGAAATCGGAGGAAGAACTGATTGATACATTGATAGAGAATGTAATGAGGGGACCATACACCTTCTTGGATGAATGAAACATACCTCGAACTTTCAAGGTTCCGCTCTCGAATACGCCCTTCCTGTACAACCTCCAATAATTCTCGCATACAACTGGGACGATCGGCACGCCGGCCTGAATGGCAATATGGAATGCGCCCTTCTTGAACGGGAGTAGGTCGTGTTGTTCGCGTAGCGAACGGGTGCCCTCCGGGAAAAGCCAAAGCGAGAGGTTCTTTGCGCGCATCGTCTCTCCAGCAGCAGTGAGTGAGCGTATAGCCTTGGCGTTGTTCCCTCTATCAATCCAGACAACACCAGAGAGGCTCATAAACTGGCCGAGTAGCGGGGACCATTGCAACTCCTTCTTCGCTATGATGGACGCGTGGCGGGGGAATATCCTATAGGCCACAGAGTCAACCCATCTGTGCTGGAAAACAAGTGGTCTACACACCTCCCTAGATAAAGGATATCAAGCATACTCTGATGGTTGCCCACGAGCACTGCGGGACGAGTTTGAAGGTGTTCCTCGCCCTCTACCACTAGCCGGATGTCCAGCGCCCGACTAGCGAGGGCATAGAAGCTGCGCGCGACGACAAAGAATGTGTCCAATCGGCGTCCAACGAGCGACATGCCTACTGCACACACAACACCCCACGCTGAACATACTCCGAGTGTGGAGAGATACAGTGTAAGGCGAACATAGTATCGAGCGATCGGAGACGATTGCGAAAGCGTGTGTAGCGCAAAAACGGGGAGGGAGACATAGGCAAGCGGTTTCACGAGCCCGCTGAGGAGAGAAGTCATGGCCGCCGAGGACGACCTGCACGACGTGCTGGTCGCGATGGATGGTAGATGGGAAGAGATGGCCTGCGGCGCTGAGCAGCGGCCGACGGCGTGACGCTACTGCTGCAGACATGCGGCACAATTTAGTACGAGCGGAGTACGAATCCATTGCCCTTTATATCTGCCTCGGCGAGTACACGATCATGGCTGCGAACACACAGGTCGCCTCACAAGGCGCCGTCAAGAAGACAGTGGGCAAAGGTGGGTGTTCTTTAGGTAGCTGCAGGTGTGGTGGGACTCCTAACATACATGGCTTAGGCAAAGTTGCCCCGTCCCGCTATCTGAACCCCACAAGCGCGTCGACATCGCGGGCTACTGCGGTCACGGGCTCATCCTCGAAAATAGGGCCGACTGTCCCTTCCAGCGTTAAGGGGAAGGCTATCGCACCGGCGCTCTATACATCGAAAGACAATCCAAGCAGTACTAGTATCCGTGAATATGAATCAGTTACTACGAAGCGCGTCGTAGCCCGCGCTGCTCGCAAAGACCTTGGTTCATCGCGAGGAATCAGCGAGAAGACTTCAACCAACAACAGAAACCGATTTCCTATCAGTGCGAGCGCATCATCCTCCGTCCCCGTCCAGGCTACCTCTCGTGAGAAACTCGTGAGCGACATCCGCCTCGGTATATACTCGTGTCACTCACTCTTCCATGTATTCTTGTGAATAGGATAATGACGCTTCTCTGCAACCGGAGGCGTTATATCTAGCCGCACAGACGTATTCGTGGCTGTATATGACCTCCACATTGGAAAACCGTTTCGACAACTCAAAGAAGGCTGCTAGCGATGCTTTGGAAAGTCGTTCCCGAGAACTTGCGTCTGAAGAAGCTGATATTGCAGATGCGAGGACTCGTTTCGTGTCCGAACGATTACTAGATTTCTATGAAGAATTATCCGACGTCAAGGTCAGTGAGTACACTCTTTCAAATGCACGTATTTACATCATTCTCTAATTAAATTTAGCTGTCCGGTGCAGTGCCTTCAGTAGTGCAAGCGTACCTGAAGGTCGAGCGTACCTATTCAACGACAATATCGGAAGCCGTATCGCTTGCGACACAGTCTCACGACGAATACACTGATATCAGGGTGTATGCCAGGGTTCTGGATCACATTGGTCAGCTTTATTATGTCGTCATCTCGAGGTGAATTAATCTCATCGTTAAACAGATTGTCTTCAGCAGGAAGTGGAGACTGTGGAATCTTTCATACTAACGGCAACGGACGTCCAGCTTCATGCGCGCGAAAGACCTCGTGCTCTCCAGGCTCTACGGGAACTACTACCGGTCATTCGTGCTCAGGCCGATAACTTGGTTTGTGCCCGGATGCTCTTACAGCACAGCAAAGACACACAACGCATTGCTTTAGAGATACTTAGTCTACAGCTGTCTGGCTGATCATGTATGACGTTGAGCTGTGTAATTCATATGTAACCTTCAAGAAGATATATGTTATCAAGTTGCATAAAACCCTAACCCCAGTGTAGTACTTTTCCGCGCTTGCGGGAACCTTGAAGAAGTTTTGTCGCCGCCAGTGTCCATCGTAATCGGCTTGTCAATGAGTACCAGCATTAGCGATCCGTTTTTGCTCTCGAGCTACGCCCTACCGACTCGACTTGTTCAGAACTCACCATCTACGCCCGCTTCCTCATCAACAAGTCGCAAACATGTGCTGCTCGGGGATGCGTTTACTTCCAACCACAAGGGAAGTGGCTTTGCGACCGTAGCGGCCCAGGGCGATGGTATTCATATCCTTGACGTGAGTTGGATTCGCGGAGAAATACAAAAGTCTAGTATGCTCAAAAATTCTGTTTGGTTTCCGTACGCGTCTTATAGCTCTCGACTCTCCATCCGGCCATTTCGCATACGCTTGGGCCCAACACCACATTTTCTTGTCCTCCGGTAACACAGACCAGCCGTCGTAATGGTGTTGACATTTGCACAACATTTGCTGTCGTAGAGTCTTCACCAGACGTACTTCAAAAGGAGGGTGGTCGCACTGTTTGGAAGTGGGAAGAACAATTATCTGGTGGTGTGATGTCAGGGGATGCACAGAAGAAGAAGAAATCGGCATTAGTGAGCTCTTGTCATTATTACATCGCGCATACGTATGTAATCCAATTATCCTCGTTAGGTTCCTCATGCATTGTCGCGCATATATGTCTGTGACGACCTCCCTGATAAGCTACTTTTAGTGGATCGGCGCGGCGAAATCAGCCTCTCAGATATGGATTTATCCCCAGAAAATCTCATATTCCCCATTACACAGAGAAATGCACAAACGACGCTATACAAGCATTTTGTCTTTCCCCGAAAGTCCTGTACATTTATGTCAAGTGGATCCATGCTGGGTGGTGTCGTCGCAGCGTTCCTCTGGCGCGAATCCGATCAAATGAAGGTTTCTGTCACCTCTGTGGACACACACAGCGGTCCCACTTCCGAAGGGGAGTGTATTCTTCCCTTAACTGAGGCCGTAAGACATTGCATCTACCCGATGTGAACAGCTCAGTGATAGTTATTTTCACGAATAGGACATCGTAGACGCGTCTTTCAGCGCGTCTGGCTGCATCACAGTCCTCAGTGAGTATTGCTCACTGATGTATATTCGTTCAATAATAATTTTCCTTTAGCCTGTAGCGGTACCTGGCGCTCCTTCCAACTATCTGAGTCTGCGACCTCCTCAGAGTCCTTCTCCCTCCGCCCACTTTCCGAACCCATTCATCTTGCCGCACTCTCTTTCCTTTCTGCTATAACCTCCACCGAAATTTCGCTGTTGGCCTTAACGTCCTCTCATGTCCTCCTTTCTGGCATCTCGACTTCGCCAGGATCCTCACCCGAAATCACTCTCCTCATCTGGGACATGCAATATGGTGTCCTTCTGAGTGAGCAAAGATGCGGCGTCCCGTCAACATTGGGAAGGCTCAAACCAAAATGCATACAAATGCACCTCGCTGCTGTGCCTCCAACTGAATCACAATCGCAGGCTCTGCTAGTCCTCTCGCCATCCACGGACCGCCCTGCGAAGCGTGTAGATAGTAAGAGCAACATTTTGCATTCGAGCATCCTCGTTGTTCCATATACAGTCCCCTTAACATCAACAATTGCGAGGGCACTTGGCCGTGCATCTGCTAGTACAAAATACCTCAAGTTGAATTCTGAGCAGAAAGGCCTGTCAGGGTATCATAAATTTTTCAACACCGCTCAGGCCAAGTTATTGAAGTCTGTACAACATGCAATGAATACCGCGACGAACGCCGATGTTGAAAGGGTATTCGAAGAGTGGGTTGCTGATGAGGAGCAGAGAGCCAGCGCTCAATTCGGTGGGAACGTGGTTAGGCAAAATGAAGAACATCTGCTGCCTTTGGGTCATCTCTTCGTGAAACAGTTGCTGGATATTGTCTTGCCTGCGTCGACCAGTGGGAACACGTCCAGTACAAAACTGCCACATGCACCAAAAGTGGTGAGGTATCTGCTCGAGAGGCGCGTTGTGAGCGACTGCATGATTGAGGGAGGGCTTATACCAGCGCTCCTGCTACGGCATGATTGGGTAGGTTCGCCTGGAACTTCCCCCATCGATCATGACTTATCTGTTGGCAGGAATCGGCAGTACTGGCTGTGCAGAAAGTCATAGATTTGCCAGAAATGGATATAACATCCTTGCTTGCCCAAGTGGTCGCACAGCGTCGACAGGTTCAGACAGATAATGATGCTATGCAGGTCGATTCGCCGGCCGGCATGCCTACGCTGCCTTCTTTCCTCTCATTATTCGTCCATTATCCGACATCTCCTGCAACTTTACGGATAGCTCTGCGCAGGCATTTGGCTGATGCTGATGACCTCACGCATGTGCTTAGTATTCTTGACGGTTGGGTCGAGCAATGGTGCAGAGAAGATGTACGCCTGCTACCTGACGGAGTAAAAAAGGATGCACATGGGGTCCAAGTCCCATTCTACACAGAGCGTAAACAAGAAGGTTTGCCCTCCCTTGACAAGGTATGGACTTAGCGCCATTTACCCCGAACTTGTAGATGCGACTTAATTATTCAGATCCTCAATTTTGCTCAGTCCATCTTCGACGCATCATTCTTGACCCTGCTTTCCTACCCTCCTGCGCATGTACTCATCCGTACGCTCCTTACACGGCTGCGGCAGGAGCTCGCCCTTATATCCGAACTACAAGTGTTGCACGGCCCGTTGCGACCATTTGCTTGGGCCCACACGCGAGCAGTGCATGAGGGCATTCATGGCCCGGCAAAGGTAGACACTAGCATCGATTGGCGCCGTAGGAAGAAATTAGCGCATGAGCAGGCCGAGATGTCAGTGAGACAATACCAGGTCGAGGAGCTTGTGATTTAGTGTAATTATTCTCGAGCGCATATATGAGGCATCATTCTATTGGTGAAATGATCCGCTGCTTTTCGACGAACGTCTCCAGACTCATCGATCATCGACATCCCTTGGCCAAGTTGGATGCTCAAGTACTTCCTCATTGATATATGTATGCGTCCGACTCAAGAGTTCTTTGCAAGCGCGAGGGCGCATCCCGCTCTATCCCGCTCGAGTGCGGAACACCAAATAGGCGACAACACGGCGTGCGCTGAGCCTGCAAGACGTGCCCCTGAAGGCTACCATGGGCCCTCTCTCTTCTGCATCCATTTCCCTCTCATCTAGCTACACGTAGAGGGCTGGGATCGGCACTTGCGCTCCTTGCATTGTCTGGGCCCTCGCAATGTCCTCTCCTGCACAGCGAAACCGTCATCGTAAACGAATATCGGCGCTGCGCCTCTCTTCAGACACCACGGTCTCTACTCTGCCAGCCTATACATCCCCTCCCTGGTTCAAATCCTCTGTACTTTCCGCAGAGACCGAGATCTCAGACAGGCCCCCAGATTACCCTGATAGCGCAGAAGAGGCTGATGCGGACACTGACTCCGACGAGTCTCACATCGCATACTTCTCGCCGCCTCCTCCTTTACCAGTCTCCCCCCGTCGCGCGCGCAACTCCCACTCTCGTACGTTCAGGCGTCAGCAGAGCTCTTCAAGCGAGCCTTATCTCGACTCGTTATTGGCTCGGAGTGTTCATGCGTTGGAAATGTCAAATGCGCTTCTCCAGTCCTCCATGTCCACGCAGAGCAGCCTCTCCGCGGTTCTAGCATCTGACTCTATGGCTGATCGCTCACTGGAGGCCCGTGCCCAGATGTTGTCCACAAGAATTACCGGCAACAGAGACATGCAGGAGAACTGGTTGGACGACCTGGATGAGATATCACAGAATGTTCAAAACCTTGTGGGAGAGGTCCAAATGCAGAAACAAGATGAAAGCGCTGGCGCTGGTGCTCTACCACCCGAAGACGATTGTGTTAGCAGGAGTCTCCCAACATCTGGATTCGCTGAGCGGGTCCAACGGCGATCACATATGCGCAGGCCTTCATTGGATTTACGCAACTCAGGCAATGCACAATTGCAATATTCTAACCACGATCGGAGTCATTTCATCGCGTCGGCCCCGCGGGCTCTGACTGTGTACATAGATTCTACTGACAGCCCTGACTTGATCACTCTGCCCTCAACCCTGGGGTTACGTTCCACATCGCAATTGCCGCCAACCCCGTTGCCGCCGATGACTCCCCCAGATTCCGGCTCGGGAGTGCAAGCGGCATCTGAAGGCCAAACTAGACGTATTGTAAACGTACTATCATCATACGTACGTCGTCCTTCTCCACCTCCGCCTCCGTCTACCTCTGTCTCCACCTCGTCTCCCTCTCGACTTGCCTCCATTATGTCGATACGCAGCGGTCGGAGCTCTAGTTCGAGCTCACGAACGATTCCCGCCATGAGACCTTCGAAATCACCCGTTAAACCACCGGTCAACTCTTCGCCCGTGTCAACTCTTCGTTCGCGGTCGCTTACGCCAATGCGGACATCCTCTCCTCCTCAACCACCTCGCCCAATGACCCCTCCTATCGAAGAACTGTCGGCATCATCTGAGTCATCGTCATCGGATACGCTCAATGTTGATCGTACGGTTCAGTCATTGCGCAGTATTCTTGACCGTCAACAGTCGTCTGCTGCGGGCTCTCCTACCGCATCCCGGAATAGTACCCTCGCTCCACCCCCGCGGCCGTCATTTCTCTCTCCACCTTCGGTAGCGCCTGTGTCGAGCACCTCTACGGCTACCGCATCCGTATCCCGTCTATTTACAAAAAGTCGCCATTCATCCTCAACTCGCCCTCCCTCACCGCCGCGGCAATCTTCCCTCAAAAATCGCTCTGCTCCGCCAACACCCGTTCTCACTTCTCCACCACCGACACCTACACTTCTCGGGTTACCCGACACGCTCAGAATCTCATCAATTGTCAATGGGAGTGTCCACAGCGCGACGTCATCTGGGCGCTCGACGCCCAAGCGTATCTCTTTTGCAGAACTGCCCGAATCATATGCGGGTTCGCGACCAGAAGGCGCGCCGTCTAAGCTGCGCGACAAGGTCCGCAGCAAAAGTAAAAGGCGCGGAAAGCGTGCAGATGGGAGGAAGAGCGACGGAAGCGACAAAGATGAAGGTAACGCGTGGTGGATGGGCTGGTTGCTTGGTGCGGCGGGGACGGGGAGTGGGTCTGGCTTGAGTTTAGGCGCGACGAGGGAAGAACGAGTACCTCGCAGTCCGAACTGGAACTCTCGCCCAGGGTACGGGAGCGCTCTAGATGATTGGGGGGCGTAGTGATGTCCGTGAACCGTCTGAGTACGTTATAGAGCGCACTGTGTTGATTGGTATGTGACGATCCCTGAATTTCTGCGTACTTCATGGGACTCACTTGGTGCTTCACGCAGGTCTGGTTAGGATTCTGTAACTTATCTTACTACTAACTAGTGTGAGCTTTTCGCTGACGCTACAAACACTCTCTGTCACCATCTCACTGCTGCTCTATATATGAGCACATTCTGCAGCTGTTTAGCTATCCTTGCAATTGCTGGGTACTCTACCATGCATGGTTGTCTTTATATCCACCCATCATCCATCTCTATACCGCATCCACCTTGTATATCTAGTGTAGCCAAGTGTCGGATATATCTTGCTCCATCTTACGCTCACCCATCTTCCTATGAAACCCGTGGCTATCACTTCTATATTGCCATTGCGGCAGTCCGCAGGCACATTAGTGTACACAAACTCAATAGCACTGTGTAAATTCTATGGAAGATGGTGAATAAGGGGAATGTCCATAGCCATGCAGCAGAGAATAACAAAGCACTTTCACGCAGATACGGTAGTAACAGGGAGCATCTTGGCGATTTCCTGCAGAGGCCCCTTGTGGGACTCAATGACTGTCCTGGAGTGATAGCTGTCGTAGACGAGGGCCGGAGCGTAGAAGGACCACGACGTCCAGAGGAACATGCGGCTGTACTGCGCGGCGATCTTATCGTAATCGACTGGGAACAGGATCGGAATAAGCACAAGGCACGCCGATAGCAGGAATAGAAAAGGCACCCACCATGCAGAGCGCTTCTCAGTTCCAGCCACGTGCGCGTCACATCAGTCAAAATCACATCCACTCCCCACCGCACAGCCTGCTCAAACCCGTCAGTAGCCGGGAGAGATGCACACGAACGTGTCCCACCTCAACCATCTGCGCCGGCTCGTTGACGGTCCACACCATGATTTTCTTGCCCGCCTCCTTGCACTCTCTCCTGAACCTGAGAGATCGTTAGTTCTCGACGCACGTGTGCTCGAGGAAATCAAGATCACGCACTTCTCCCCGTCAGCGGTTGTCAGCACAGCGAATTTCATCGAGAACACATCACAGCTGTCCCAGAAATACCGCCGGGCAATCTCTATGCTGTTCCCGATATACGAGCGGCGGCAGTAGGGCAGATGGGTGACAGCGTGCGGGATGAACGCGGTGTGCCACAGCCCGACGAGGATGCGCGGCGCGAGCGCCGTCTGCCAATCTGGCTGCGCGGTAATGACTTTGTGCATCAGCGAGAACAGTCGCGCGGGGTCATTTTGGACTTTGACGTCGACGTTGAAGTTGACATGGCTGTTTTCCGGCTGTGGAAGTGCATAGAGGTCACAGGGGCACAGCGCGTGAGTGTGCGGGGGGAGTGACCTTCATGAGCATCGCGACGGTCTCTGCGAACGTCGGGATGGCCTGCTTGGGCTCTTTGACGGTCCTGAGCTGCTCCATTCCATCGGCCCCGTACCATTTCTGCTCACTGATGAAGCCTGAAGCCAATCAAGATCAGAATGATGATCGGCCATAACATGAAGTGCATGTGCATACCTTTTCCATTTGTGGTCCTGTCCAATGCTGGAAACGAAAGATCATGTCAGCAAGCAGACTGAAGGTGAGAAGGGATGTATGAACATACCAGGGTCATGGAACATGACGACAATGTCATCTAAGGAGACGTGGACGTCTGCTCATGGGGGTCACGGGCTGTAACGGAAGACATGGCGCTTTAAAGAGAAATACCGCTCTCAATGCCCTCGGCCCCATCGCGGATAGCTTTCTCGAAGCTGGCCAGTGTGTTCTCTGGATATGCAGCGGAAGCCTGCATGGGTGGCGGTCAGCATCGGCGCCGATCGGGTAGCAGGGGTTGAGAGAAAGAAAGAAAAGAAAGAAGGAAAAACTCACTCCACGGTGACCCCAGCACTCTGGAAGTGAGATGGGCGACGGCATAGCTGACGAGATGGGACAAGAAGAAAAAAGTCGGAGAGAGAACAGTGGGGAAAGGCGGTATTTGAGAGCGGGTGAAAAGGAACGTGCGTGGTGGCGGGAGCTTATATAGCGATCGGCCGCGCTCCAAAGGAGTAGGCGAATTGGTCGCGCCAGGGTCGGAAGGGATAGTGTCGCCAAGCTCGGGCGCGCCCCAGAACGCAGGGCCTGGCGAGGAGGACGTCCGACGAAGATACAAGCGAGTCTGCTGATTGTGAAATTTGCTGCGAGCCTTCCCAGCTGCTGTGTGCAGCCGAGGGGGTAGCCGCGTACCTACCGAGAGCCGTCTGCATGTGCTCTCCCGCTGCCACGAGTGATCCCTGCGGGGCCTTGCACTGTGCCCGAGCCCTTCTGATCCCTGCGCGCGCCGTGTTTAGCCTTTACACTTACGTCCGCCGCTGTCTGGGCCTCTCACCTGCTCACTGCGCGCTCCGACGGTCCGCAAGGTCGACGGCAGTCTCATGCCTTCAACGTCGACAGAGATGGCGTGCAGGCTGCCTGGGTCCGGCACCTGCAAGGGACGCAGTCAACGAGCGGCCTCATGGCCGTGATCAGCTGCAGCACGAGCCGCCCGCTGCTTCTTCATCCGGGCCCGCTTCCCACTCGCACTCACGCCCTCACCTTCACCGACTTTGAACTCTATCTTCCCCGCCATGGCCACGCGCGTCGCCGTCCTCACAGGTCTGCCTTCTCCCCCCTGTGCTGATCCGCTGAGTCGAGTCCCCCTCCACAGTCAGCGACACCGCCGCCGCCGACCCGAGCACCGACAAGTCCGGCCCCACCATCCGAGACATCCTCGCGGCCCACGGCGGCTACGACTGCAAATACCTCCTCATCGTCCCCGACGATGAGCTCCGCATCCGCCATACCGTCCAGGCTTGGTGCGACCAGGGCGATATCGACTGGATTATCACCACAGGCGGCACCGGCTTTGGTGTACGCGACAGGACACCCGAGGTGAGGCGCGCTTGCTCTCCTTCCCCTTAATCGATGGGCCGCATATAGTCACTCTCATGTCTTGCGTTGTACGCGATGTATATTCGCCGTACGATGCGATTCATAGTCTACCTATGTGCGTCGTGACGGTGACAGTGACTACGTTCCAGCCAGATGTTCATCTCGGTCTGAGAAGGCTACGACATTAATACTAGATTGACATTGACTGAAGACAAGGGGGAAAGGTGTAATGAGAGCATGATATTCAGACCGGACGGGGACATAGCCGCAGATATGGAGCTTTGCACGATCACCCTACTACGGATATCCGTTGTTGAGCCAACTGACGAACTATCCACAGGCGATCCGTCCTCTTCTCGAGCGCGAAGCATCTGGTCTTGTCCACTTACTGCTTGCATCGTCTCTGCAAAAGACTCCTCTTGCAGCACTCTCGCGCCCCGTCGCTGGGACCGTGAAGAACACGCTCGTAGTCACTCTGCCTGGAAGCGTCAAGGCCGTAACGGAGAACCTGGATGCATTGCTCGCAGCTGGAGTCGCCGAGCACGCCCTTGTGCTAGTAAAAGGCGCGTCCAGCAGACAAATACACGCGAACATGTCGTCAGCTGGCTCTGTGCGCTCGCACGCGCATGCCCACCACCACCATGCCCACCACCATGATCACGCCCCTCAGCCAAGAAGCACCCTTTCGCATGACCCTTCACTTCCCGGTGCGTACGTACGCGGGACGGCATTCTGTCAGCCTTCTCATTCAGGTCGTTTGATTAGTCACTACGAGACATAGAGAGTCACCTTACCCGTTAGTCTCTGTCGAAGAAGCCTTGGCCTCCATTTTACGGGAAATTAAACCCTTGCCAGTCACCGAACAACTGGTACGTGGCGTTACATTGAAGCACGTTGGCCCTGTGAATTTGACCTCAGTACAGGTCACGCCACATCTGAAAGGGCATGTCCTCGCCGAAGATGTGTGCGCGCCTCAGGATGTGCCTCTGACATCCACGACTAGCGTTGACGGCTATGCTCTGCGCTGTATGCCCCTCGAGATTCCATGTTCCACGTGGATCTAATGACTTTCTAGCGACTGATCCCCCAGGAATTTACTCAGTACTCACCCCGCGCACACACAGCACCGCCGACACTTTACCTACAGGCACCATCTTTCGCATCAATACTGGTGCCCCCCTTCCCGCGGGTGCAGATACGATCATTATGGTAGAGGACACCCGCCTACACAGCACAGTGAAAGATGATAGCGGTGCAGACGTCGAGGAGAAGGAAGTCGAGACATTAGTGCAAGTTCCTCCGGGGGAGAACGTGCGCGCACCCGGGTCAGACACACACAACGGTGACCTGGTGCTCGAGAAGGGCACGATATTGAACAGCGCGGGCGGAGAGATCGGATCGCTGGCATTTGTTGGAAGAGCAAAGGTGCAGTTCCCCTATGATGCATGTGAGGGTTAGCTAACGATCATTATCAGGTCAAAGTATATAGAAAGCCGGTGGTAGCTATTCTTAGCACTGGGAACGAGCTGGTAGATCTACAGACGCCACAGCCAATGCAGGGCGACGGCTGGGGTGGTATTTGGGACACTAACCGACCATCTCTGAAAGCGGCATTGGAAGGCATGGGCTACGAAGTCGTCGACTTGGGTATCGTGCCAGATGAGTCAGATTGTTTCTCTAACATGCAATAAACGAGGCGTTGACACGATCTGTCACAGTCTAGATGCTCACGTCAACATTATCAAGAAGGGTCTGGAAAGTGTAGATATGTTGCTGACAACTGGTGGGACATCAATGGGCGCAGGCGACCTACTTAAGCCAGTTATCGAACGGCACCTCAACGGGACGATCCACTTCGGACGTGTGAAAGTTAAGCCCGGCAAACCGACGACCTTCGCGACAATCCCTTCGTCATCGAACAACGGCGGTGATCAGATCCCGATGTTTGCCCTACCAGGAAACCCAGCCTCCGCTTTGGTCACATTCAACATCTTTGTGATACCTGCCCTGCGCCGCCTGGGGGGCTGGCCTGCTGATCGCACCCAGCTACCTCGTATCCGTGTGCAAGTACGTAATATACTTGCAACGTCCTCATTGTGAGCTCGACCAGACCATATTTATAGCTACGAGATGCAATGCGCCTTGACTCTCGCCCCGAGTATCACCGTGTCGTCATCAAGGCCTCGCCAAGCGGATTGTATGCATATAGCACAGGTGGGCAGCGCTCCAGCAGGGTTGCGAGCCTTAGCGGGGCAAATGGTCTAGTCGCACTCCCCGCAAAAGAGGCCGATGATCCGGAGCAATTGCAGGCGGGAGATATTGCAGAAGCTGTGGTGATTGGTGAGCTACAAGTTCAATAAGGGTACAGTCTAGAACCGAATTTCTGTACGATTTGGAACAAGAGGAGATAAACAAACCTGTATCACAGTCTAGTCGTGCATCAAACTCATCGCTTCTTCATTGCTGCTAATTCCTGGTGCCATTCTACTCGTCAGCGTTGCCTCTGAACTTGAGCTAGGCGTAGACTTGCCAGCTCGTCTACCTCTCTCTGGAGAGCAGCTACATCATTTTCGAGGCGCTCTCTCTGTCTAGTCAGCATCTGTATCCGACGGACTTCAAGCTTGGTCATTCCTGTCGTTTTCACTGTCACACCTGAGGATGGCCGGAACTCCGCAGCTTCAACCTAGCACCAAGAGTGAGCACTGCGAGGATCGCCGGGTACGGTGATCATCACCTTTGCTTGTAACAAGTTTTCCTTCTTAAGAAGAATCTGCAGCCCCTTCTCCGCACGTGTGATCAGCTCATTAATTTGTGGCTCAATCTCGTCTGTGAGATCGGCTTTGTATCTTCGTACAGTCGCTTCGTCAATGAGGAGAAAAACCTGTCAACATAGGCTTCACTTGGGGTAGAGAGGTTAACGAAATCGAAATTGTATACCCTCTCGTTCTCTAGTACTTTCGTCATCCTAGGAAGGTCGTGTGTTCCTGCACGTATAATCTCTTGCGCTTCATGCGCCTTAAGGACAGTGAGTCAGGTAGTCGGTGCAAGGTAATGCAGGCATACCTCTTCGCAGCAGTCTTCCATCGCCAGGACGCATTCTCTCAGGTAAGGGCTGCATACCGCGTTTGTATCGCCCCGGTAGAGCTCTGCGTTGCCCACAAAGACAGATTCCCTAGGGGCGTTTCTTGGATGCACGGAAAGTCTAGACGCTCTGTGGCTCCTATCAGCCATGGTTGTCCCGTTCTAGGGAGCACAAGTTGTAACAACCAAGGGGATGTATAAGTCCAGCTGCGATGGATGGCCGCGCAGTATGGTCGCGCCTGTGGCACGCGCCATGCCGGAGTCAACCCTAAATCAAGCTCCGCCCCCCCACGGCTATATAAGGCCCAAAACTTCGCAGTGTCTCTCCAGTGTCCGTTCGACTTCTGAACCGTTAGCCTTGCGCGCAGAGGTCTTGCCTCTGGTGACGTCTTTCTAGTCGACGGAGCGAGGTGCTCTTCGGGGTGCTCACGATAGCAAGCGTTTTTCTCCTGCTCCCCCTCGCTACAGCTGAGTCCATCTCTGGTGTCGATTCGCTGGAGGGGTCGACGTTGGAGGAAGGGGCGGTGTTATATTCCTGTACTCTCTGTACCCGCCCTCTTTCGGGAGGGTTGCTACTATGTGGCGTTGATAGTTCGGTGAAACCATAACACAGACATTATATCATCGCTTGTAATACTGCCGTCTGTTCCTGAAATAAGCTATCGGCTTGAGATTTTTGGCACTGTAATGTCTGTAATAAGGGGTGGGCTATCATTGCAGGAAGGTATGTGGTTGCTTGTGTTCATATGGTTCGTGGGTATCTTAAACTGGCTGTCGATAATTGCTTGAACGTGTTGGGCAACAGCAACGCATGCGATGTAAAGTTTAGTATGGCTTCAGTATAGTGAAGGACCAATGCATGATATGTATAAATTATGATATGGATCCGGTGTGTTCTATCTACCATAGATATATACTTTGACTGAAATAAATGCATTATATCCTAGTACTTCTCGAGTCGTCCTCATCGTCGCTCTCCCCGACACTGAAAATAGCTTCCGCAGGTGTTAGCAGTTGAGCACGCCCTTTGCCCTTGTCCTGCTGTCTGAATTGTTCGTCGTCTTCGTCGTCATGATCTTTCGACTCGGCCATACTCGCATTCAGAGGAATGTTCTCCTCATGTGTCGACGCAGGTGGTAGTCCCCGCATGCGATTGCGTCTTGTTCGCCACCAGAGGTAACCACCGATGGCCAAGGCGATTATGACGAGAACCATAGCAGCTGAGCCAGCATTATAGTATGCTGAAGAGAGATAGTTAATTTCGCACTCAGACGCGCAGAGCCGGAGCCAACATCACCTTCCCACATGGCCTTATCTTGTTCTGGAGTCTTCGCAGGTACAGGTGTCACAGTCGGGGCCCCATCTAACAGAGCAGGTACAGGTTTGCTTGCGTCGCCTACGGCACTAGGAATTTTAGCCGATCCATTGACGATGGCGCTGAAGTCAACGCCCATGAAACGCAGGATCATATCATGTGCGACATGCGGGACATCGTAAGGTGCCATGTGTGATGCGTTGAAAAGCTACAAAATGGATCGAACAAAATGCACCTGAAAATCGTTGAGAAAACACACCTTCACATATGTCAAGTTCCTTGAGCTGACCCATGTCCCTGCTGCAGTTCCATTTACCGACCACGACTGTGTCTGTACCGTCTGTGGAGTACCACATCAGTGTGTATGTTATACATATAGCAGAAGCTCGTACACCAAGGCCTGTGGCACCATTCCAAGTCATAGCCTGAATTGAGCTCTCGATCCCAACGTAATTGCAAATCAGGTCTTGATCGCCCGCGAACAGTAGAACTGGGATTCTCTCCAACACCTTGGGGAGGACTTTGATAGAAGACTGGGACGTCCGCGTTCTAAACTGAGAGTGAATGATGCCTCTGCACTCCGTCCAGGTTTGGGACGCGGCAGTTGCATGCAGAGCACGGACAACATCTTGACGCTGGACAAGAAATGTCAGAAGACGAGATCTATGCTAACCAATATACTGACGGCCAGATAAGCATACATGTGGGCAAGATCTGGGGGCCAGGTCATGCCACATGCAGGAGCTTCGTCGTCGAGCCTAACGTCATAAATGTTGAGACACATGTCCTTCCCATTGACTCTGCGGGTAAGTTAGACCGCGAATAACCACATAATACATTACTGACTTCCTGTCCTTGCCTTTAACAACTTCCTTCATGACAGCCTCACATATATCGATATTGACAGGCTCAATCGTCGTGACCTTCGCATATTCCGCCATGCACTTATCGGTGATAGCCTTGCCACGCTTCCAGTCCTATTATCAAAAGCGTGAGCGGAATGCACACCTCGCAGTGAAACTGTATGCCAACCTCTGAGTTTTCTTCAACCAAGCCGTGCTTGACGGCATACGTTAGGAATGAGGGGTATTGGTGACGACCATCAATCCATCCGTTTCCGATGGCTCCCCCACGCAAGGGTATTTTCAAATTGGAGTTCAATATAGCGTCCGCTAAATGGTAAGTCCGTGAGTCATCTTTTATTAAAACTGGAAGGAATGTGCTCCTCACCAAAGTAAGGTATATATTGCCCAGCGAAACTCTCGCCACCCAGGTAGGTCTGCATCATCATAAATCAGAAGGCACCGATGAAACTACGAAGATATAACCTACGTCGACGGTCTGATATTCCGGAAAGACTTTGTAGAAATTACGAAGGAACTCGATCAACTGGTTGGACGCCTTCAATTGGCCGTAAGATAGTCGTCCGGTGGCACAGATACCGCACATACCTCCGAAAGTTCATGCATATAATGATCTGTAGAGGTATACGAAAAGCCCGTCCCTGCCGGCTGATCAACTGCAGGAGTTCTAGGTGTTAGACCGTGCAAACAACACTGTTTGATTTGGTACACACTGTAAACCATTGTGGTATATTCCTCCCAGCCCCCTTCTATCCTGTTCATCCCTCCTTTGCCGTCCAAGCGCCAAGGGCCGACTTCCATCATGAGTCCGTCAAAGGAGGAACAGCCTGGACCACCCTGGCAATGACTGCAATAAGAACCCAAAGAATACTTTCATAAAATATTACAGACATTGAACCAGAACATCAAACGCTCCTTATCCGCCGTTCTCCGTGCTTTGACCATCACAAAGAATAGATGCGCAGTAACCTCATTCGGGGAAGCTTTCGCAGCCTCAGGGTCGGATGAGAGGTGACCTGAGAATATTCGCAGAGGATGAGCCTCATCTTGGTGCAAACCTGGTAAGCTGTGTACATAGAATGAAGCCGCCGACGGAACTACAATCTCTAGGTTAAGCTGGGACGACTGCGACTGGAACGAGGGAAGCTTACCATCCGTTGGAGCTGCATCTATCAGGGGTGCAAGTAACAAGGGGACTAGAAACGACCATAGCGTGCCGAGAGCAAATGTGCAAATCATTGTCCGGAGTGAAGCTGGACAGGCGTATCTGATAATGACTGTGATCAGTATAAAATACTCCGACGTTGGTTGAGATGCTACGTCTAGACAGGAGCACTTAGAAAGAAAGCATGATGCAGGTCAGAAAGGGGATGCTCACAGGGCACCGCCGCCAGCCATCGCTGCGTCGACAGATGGCGCGCAGGTAGGAATCATCACGTGCCACTATCTCTACCCGATATCGCGCTCAGGAACGGAACATTTCCTTTCTAGGACTTATCAGACTGAGCCATGCTTCTGTCAATCTTGCGGACAATTGGATACTAAGCAAGACCACGACGCCTTCTCCTTTGCCCATCATGAAGGTTCTGCCATTCCTCTTCGCGTCTCTGGCTTTGGGCCTCGGCGCGAATGCCCAGTACTTTTCAGAGGGATGGAAACCTGGTCAGCCTGTCACTCGTGAGGCTTATCCCACTGGTATACGAACGCCTGTGCACCAGCCGCAAGCTACACCAACCAGCGAAGCCTCTCAGTTCAAGCTGACTGACCTTCTCACGTCCGGCCCAGTGGGCTCCTTGATGAACAAGGCCGGAATCAACATCACCGAGAAGTTGGAGAAGGCCAAAGCGGAGGCGGAGGTAGAAATATGGGACACCCGCATACCATTAATCACGGACGACAGTTATGACGAACTTATTGTGAATGAGTCTCTTACCCCAGAGGAAGAGGCTGAAAGGGTCTGGTTCATTATTATGTGCGCCTTAGTGTTCATATTTCTTGTAGAGGCTGTCTAACTGGGTGTATGACAGCACGGCTAGCAAAGGCGGGAAGAATGTCTTTTCACTCAAGACTGATGAAGAGTTTGATGAGGCATACAACCGGACTTTGATTGAGGGAGACTTGCCTAACGTCCGCTGGGCACGCATGGACTATTTGAATGTCACCTACATTACTACAAAGTGGGCAATCTGGCAGTGAGTGTCGCATGGAAGCGCCTCACTTTGAATACTTAATGCTGCATTTAGGGCGCCATACTTTGTTGTTGCGACGAATCGTGGTCATGACTTACGTTTCTACAAGGCAAACAGCGTCAAAGTAGACTCTGATGTCATGCGCGAATTCTTGCGGGAGGAAGGGTGGCGAGCCAACGAACCCTGGACTGGTCCATTGGCCCCCGGAGGAGACCTGTAGGTGGTAAATCATTTCTCAAAATGAGGTTGGCTCATGGACCTCGTCCAGCGAGCATGTCATGCATTATTTCGGTGTCACCCTTAAGCAAATTTATGAATTCCTGCTCATCTTCCCGAGATGGCTCCTCATGATTGCTTCTGGTATCGTTGGAAATATGGTTCTCAAATTCCTGCATTCGAACAAATCCGTCAAAAGTCCAGCTAAGCCAGCAGCTTCGCTGTCTGCCACGATGACAAAAACGGAAGTTGCGGCAACACCAGCACAAGCCAATGGAACACCTACGAGAGGAAAAGCAAAACAGCGCAAGAATGCGAAGAAGTAAATATACGTATCATCTATGTTCACGAGTAGTATGCAGTTGTGCTATTTAGGGAGCTAATCGTATGTAAACCTCGGTTGGAATTGTTCACTGGACACCACTTGTTGTGCGCCATTAGACACTGGTTGCTTGACTGAATCACTTTATTGGCTCATGAAGGGCTGAGTTGAGCATGGTAAATTGAATTACACTGTGTGCAAGAGTACAAGAGAATGTGACATCCTTCATTCCTTCCAAGGGTAGTCAAACTTGGGCTGGTCCTTGCGTCTCCACAGCTTCTTCCTACACGACAACATCAGCAGTAGTCGCAAAGTTGGACAAAAAGCTCACTTCTTTTTCGTCGACGTGTGTTCTGCAAAGATCTCTACACAGTGCTTAGCCTTGAATTCTCGAATGAAGCGAGGATCCCTGCAGCGCACTGAGTTAAACATAGCAACCAGAGGGATTGATGCCATACCATAGTTCGCTCGCCACACCAAGATCTTTGCAACAGCGCATGAGAGCGTTACTCTTGCATGCCTCAGTTGCAGTTGGAATACCATTTTGGTCGAAGTATTCTTGCTCGCCCCGAGCGATTGCGACGAGTCTGCTTAGAGTTTGAGAGTATGGCGAGTGGCATAGAGTAACGTACGCTCACCGGCCTAAACAGACAAGGGCATATTCCCTGCTCACAATCTTGGGACCAACGTGGGTCTCACTTCTTGGGGCTAGTCCCCAACCACCTGGTCCAAAAGCTTTGTTCAGCACACGCCTGTATTTGATTTCGGGTAAGTATAGAAGGCCGTCTAGGAGAGTTATGTGAATTAGCGAGGAGGGGGTCGAATAGTATCCATAATGTACCAGGTTTAATCTCTACATCCATGGAGTCAATGGGTGACAGGAGGATCTCAGACACATTTCTCGAGAAAGGCTCCGCTGAAAGACCGAAGTAGCTCTTGGACCAGTCCGTAGGTAGACCCTCCTGTCCTGTCGATTGCCCGTTCTTCTCCGCTCCAAACAGAGAAGTGTCCGTGAGTTGTGCCAGCACGGAGGACGATGGTACGCTCTCTGGCGGTGTTGAAAGCGCATGAGCTATATCTGCCTCGTTAGGAACGACCTCTGCGCTTGCTTGTTCTGCGCTTGTGGTTGTACTTGCTGCTGGGACTTTAGGCCGAGCAAAAGTGGTTTTGGCACCGCTCGTTGATTGAGGGGCTAGCGGCCGTCCAGCGATATATGTTCTCGCAGAGATCACAGGAACCCGTGACGAGGGGCGTAGGAACAACGTGCGAGCAGCAGTCAGGCTCGCCATTGTCTTTCAGAAGGACTAGGGACGCCCAAGGGGCTTATGGACAGGTTGTGGTTTGCAACTTTATGAAGTGTGCATGAATCGAATCGTGGTCGCTCTACTCTAAGCGCCGTGCGCGCTGTACACGTGACCGACGCGTCTGTGGGCGCCAACACAGAAGTTCCTGGCTCTCTGTCCGAGTGTATGGCTACCCGGTCTTGAGTGTCTCAACAAAAAACATCAAGCGTACTTATGTGGCCACGTTAGTGGGCTATTCGAAGCCAATAACGCACTCATCTTGACCTTAGCCTCCTCGTCGGCCGAAGCCGTGGATGAATACACCTAATATGTCTGGATCGTCAAAGAAGTTTTATGGAGGACAGACTAATGCGCCCCCTCTGGGCGCGACACTCTCTGTTTCTTCGAGCGCTCCTATTCTCTCTTCTTCTCAAGAATCTCTACATCCAAACTCGAATGCCTCGATAAGACCATCTACAAGCGCACCTTTACGGCCTGCCTCAGCCTTATCATCTCGCACATTCTCAGTTGTCGGATCGTACAGACCACCTTCCAGCGCATCGACTCGACCAGGCTCTCGCCTTGCACAGCGACCTGCTTCTCGTGTATCCCAGCGACCTATTTCGCGACAATCCACGCGCCTGTTACCCAGCTATCAGACCCTAGTCACTCAAGTAGCCGGTCTCGCACCTAACAATGATGAAGAGAATTTCCGCGTCGCTGTTGACTTTGTGTCCAAGACCTTGGATCAAACTGCCAGACCTTCTGGAACTAATGATATATCCGTCGTAGACAAGCATCTTCGCGGGTATGCACCGAGTATGACAATCAAGTATCTGCTTGCTGATACATAATAGACATGCACAGAAAGCCTGTATCAATTCTCATGATGTCCTGGCGGAAGCTCTTGAGATTGCACATCGTAAGGTCAAAGCTCAAATGCAGCAAAGTCGTGATCTAGACTCAGATATAAAGGTAATCTCGCTGATCCAAAGTCATGAACATATGCTCATGCCATTGCCATTGTCAAGACATCTTTGCTACCAAGCCATTTGCAGTTGTTGGTAATCCACGTGTTCAACCCCATTTTTGGTCTCTCAATAATATAATAGATTCTGCTTTCACTCCCTCCGGATGCAGGGACGCAGAATTTTGCAGAAGAATATATTAATAGAGTCAAGAACCCTTCGCAGTCGGTGCCTACTCTAACTTGGAAGGACATTCTAGCAGAGGAACCCTTCGAAGGCCAGCATTGGGAAGGTGCATATGGTCTGCTCCCGGGAAGCACAGTAGAAGACTGGTATGTTCACAGTGGAGGGAGTACGCCGTCCCTATCACCTTTTGACGACGATTCGGACGACCTCGATGTCTCTCTGTTGTCTGCTGAAATGCTTGATGACCGCGAAACCCTGCCTTCGCCACACATGCTGAAAATGGAGGTACCTGTGCCCCCTCGCCAGACGTACAGTCATCGACAAGACGTCGAAGATCTCCAGGCAAAGCAGTATTGGAGGACAGACTGGCATACCGATGCCAATATTATGCGACCTTTCAATATCGGAGACGCTTCAACTTTAGGTGGGCCGGTGGAATTCAGTCTGTCCATACTCCATCGATATTGACCTTAGTAGGCCCATCTATACATCGTGCTCTGGGAGATAAGGCCACCTTAGGTATTGATGGTCCACAAAGAGAGGTAATAAAGTCAAGGCATGATGGTGAAATAGCGCTGATTCAGACCTAGAAATACATTCATGAGCATGATGCTGTTCGGGAAGTTCTCATGGGCTTGAGAGGTCACAAGAACCTCATGATGGCGTGGTTGCGCGGTAGTGATGGTACATATTCCTTCGTGGTTAGTCATTCATTTCATCTAATAGTATCATACTGAAGTACTGACTGCTTCCAGTCTACCTTGGGAACTAGGCTACTTCACTTTTCAGCAATGGCTCAAGCTTCTATCCTAACTCTATTCGCAGAAACAGCAACTACGCTTGAGCATTTGCGCAAGTTCATCAAAGCTGTCTATTGCAAAGCATCTAGTCGAGTAGCACCCGATAATCATAAAGCAGCTCCTCTCACTACGTTGTATCGGCATAACACTCTCACCCTCGAGGCATTCTCGGCGGCCGTCGAGTCCCAGATATTGGCGCTTGAAGGGTGGTGTGCGCTGAAGGAGGAGCAAATATGCATGGCCGAGAGCGGTGTCGGGCCTACACTGGTCGTGAGTTTACTCAGCCTGGAGAAGAGCCTCCGGGACAAATTCTCGTTAAGCTTTCCGGTAGTACTGGATGTACTCCGGAATGTGGTCCAACGGGCTTTACGGTTGCCAGAGCCTCTTCATGAGATCTGGACGATGACTGAGCTTCCCATGCGATCATCCCCGTCAGTATTCAGCGCATTACTGCTGGACTCGCTGTTGAACGCTGCCCAAGAAAATGTATCATTGGGCGACGCCATCACCTCGGCTACACTAATGCGCATATTTGTTGGCACTGCGGAACCCATATGGAACATGGTGGGACGTTGGTTGAGGGACGGGATGCCTGTCCAGAACGTACTCGGATCGCACGAGAAGAGTCGAGCCGAGGATGTGGATGACGAATTCTTCGTGGGAGATAACGAACTACCTATCTTGGATCCTGATTTCTGGGCGGACGGATTCACTCTCAAAGATGGTCAGGGAGAGAACACAAAACCTAGCTCGATACCAACATTTCTGGAGCACATGGCTCAAGATATCATGCATGCGGGAAAGGCTATCGGACTTCTACGTCTCTTGGGAATCCCGGCTATGTTTGATCGTCAAGCTAACCAGTCTTGGATGGCGGACTGGAGGTCTTTCGCCATGTTACTGAACACCCCGTCCGGGTCTGTTCGTTCGCAGCCGCTTAACAGCGCCGAAATTACGGTACAAGGGTGGTCGATAACGACTTCCACGGGGGACCTATCCCGTCTGATCTCAGACGAGCTCGCACCCCATATTTTATATGCCCAAGAGATGCTGCAGAAGGTGCTTATTGATGACTGCGATCTGTGGCTACATCTCTCTGCTATGGAAGACCTATTCTTGATGAGAAGAGGGGACGCTATGTCTCACTTCATTGACAAAGTGCTTTTGAGAGTAAGTTTCCGTGGCGAAGAAATTCTTCTTTGCTAATTCACTTACGAAACAGATGGACAGCAGACAACCATGGACGGACTTCCACTTTTTGAATACCGCGTTCCGGGACGTCGCAGAGGCTACTCCTCACCAGTGGATCGATACTTCCCTAGTCCGCTTCTCACATAGGGGAGCAAAGGACAAGTCAATTACTAGAACAGTGAGAGCGATTGACGGCTTGTTGATCGAGTACGCTGTGCCGTTCCCTCTGACCTATGTTTTCGGTCCGCGAGTAATGCAAGTCTACTCGTCGATATTCTCGTTTATTCTGCAGATACGCAGAGCCAAGAGTGTGCTCGAGCGTATATTGGTACGTGGCGATGTGGCAGGCACATCACATCTGGGAAGCGACTTGAAAGCGTTTTATGCTATGAGAAGTAAGCTCTCATGGTTTGTCAAGTGAGCGATAGATACAGGTTAGACTACTTTCGCTGACTGCATTCTAGTGTGCTCCTTAACTTCTTGGCAACCAATGTTAGCTTTGCGCTACTTAATTATCTTCCGCTGACTAATGTCAACACAGGTGCTGCATACACAAGTGCTCCAATTTCACGAGGCATTCAAGAAAGCAAATTCTCTCAACGAGATGATCAGAATACACGACGAGCAGTAAGTACAAAACGTCCGCTGGAGACGAACCTTCCGTTGATAATGCATTAGTCTTTTGAAGATTCAAGGACGGTGTCTCTTGCAGAGAAACGTAAGCAGCTCAGTGTCTTGGTACAATGAATATTATTCATCAAAAAATTGCCAGACATCTGCATTCCACCGCGCCATTATCTCTATTCTCGACCTGACCATGCATTTCAGCGATTGCTTCGTAGCCTTTGCAGGAGATACGACACACGACATCTCGCGAAATTCTATTGTCATGATGAAACGCCATCGCAGTCGACGCGTCAGGCGTCAGAAGAGAAATGTTATTGGATTTACACAGTCGTTGCGAGAAACTGACGAGAGTTCAGAGAGTGACAGGGACGAGGAATTTGTTGACGGTGCTCGTCCGGAGCCGTCATTCTCCTTGGCAACTTCAACTGGTTCGTTTGTAGACGAGAGCTTCATTGATAGACTGGACAAGATGTCTTCAGAGCTCGATACGCTAGTGCGATTCATCCGGCATGGCGCAGAGAGTTTAGCGGCTGGCGGAAGTGAGGCGGCGTCGGCATTCGGTATATTTGCCTTCGCACTGGAAGATTGGGACAGGTAACCTGTAGACGAAATAAGCAACTGTACATTAAAGTATCAGATGTCATGCAGTGAATATGGCAGGCCCTAAAAGAGCACATGTTGTACAATAACCTACTGCTACAGTCTAAAATAACAAGGAAGGTTGTTACAGAAACAGTGGTGTAAAAAGGGTCCATCACGGGGATCACGATCCGACATACAGTGGAATCACCAAGGCTTGCGAGGACTTATCAACACTTTCATAAAACACTTTCGGCACCTCTCCGATCCACTCGTCTGTTTATCCCCCCGAGCAGAATTTTGATTATCATATCGGCACTTAATTGCCCTCCTAGATACGGCGTGGTGTCCACGATGTCGCGAATGCCATACGTCTGGCTCAAACAGTCGTCTAGCTCATGCAGAAACGCCGTTGCGTCGGGACTGTCACCTATCTGAACAAATTGAATTCCCACCTAATATGAAATTTATAGCGTTCAGTATTCAAGCTTGTAGGAAATCATAGATTCAGATCTCGAGGTCGCCTCACCTGGTTCAAAGGAAAGTTGTGTTTATCAAGACGCCTTGCGGCAGCAACAATGACAGCCTCAGGGTCATCGGCTACAAGAACGTAAATCTCAAACTAATCTTGCAGGCTACTAAAACGTACTTGGAGCACCGTCGGTGATAACAATATAATTCACTGGTCTGATCGACTTCATCGCTTTGAGATCGCCGGCATCGTATTTGCTCTTGGCATACTCGAGGCTGTCAAGGTAGAACAGTAATAGTTCCTCGAGCTTCTCGCCGATGGGCGTGATGCCCCTAGGTCGAACGTGATCAAATATACGCCTCACAGTTTCAGAACTCTTGGAATTAGGTCAGCAAAGACGACAGGCTAGGTTAAGAACCCACTCGCCTTCAGATTCGTACCAACATGCTTGTCGTTCAAAAAGCATACGTCGACGCCATCGGCGTCATATTTTGACGCAATATCTGCCAATGGAGCAAGTGCATCTCGGGCCTGCATAAGCAATATAAGTCAATCTCCTAGTAAGCTCAAGCCACAGAATGGTGCATACCTCCCGCCATCTTTCACCCTGCATTGACCCAGAGTCATCGACAATAATTACCGTATTGTATTTTCTTAGCGTGTCAAGCGCATTCTCGACGCTGTTCTGCCGCATCGGCCTCCGCAGCGCCTCCACCCGCTCTGCACTAGACGCAATTGGTGGCACCCCGGCCGGAATGACATGGGAATGGCGATGAGATTGCGCATTAGGTGGCTGAGAGCCGGGCGTACTACTTCCCCAGCTGTTTCTCCGAGAGGCATGTTCGCTAAGCTGAGGGACAGTGAGGGAATCCGAAATAGAGCTGCCTTCGGTGCTCGCCACAGCGATAGCATATGGAGGTGGCGCGGATTCACGATTGTGTGCAGGTTGTACCACAGCAGATTTGCTTCGTCTATGTGCAGCTGAATTTGATCCAGGGAGACTTAGCAATGAATGAGAGTTGGAGGCATGTGCAGTCGCTCGTCTGTGAACGGAACTTGAACCAGTGCTGTCGGGGGAGTCCTTGGAATAATCATTGTAACCGGCTGTTGCTGCCAACGCCTTTGGCTTTGATATTGAGTCGAGCGAGTTGACGGTGGCAGTTCGCGAGGATGATTTGGAGTGATTTTGACCCATGATGCAACGTAAAAGTGGCACTGGAGGCGGCAGGGGGGATCTGGGAATCGATAGGAGCCCAATGCCGGGGAGCAGACCTGCATTTAAGTACTACCGAGCTCGGGCGACTACACGGCTCTTGGGCCTTCATCATGGTGGCGAATAAAACACAGCGTTCCACATTTGGCCGACCAAAGGGCCTCTGAACGTTCAGACGTTCACAGGGCAGTGTATCATGATTCCAGAAAGGAATTTCACGACAAGTTAAGGTTGAGTGAAGGTCTTACCGCTGGCTCCCGTGCACAGCCTTCATGAGTTATTTGTTCTCGCGGGCGTTCTGGAAGATATTCCATAAAGCAACGATGTGGATATCTCAAAAATTTTGTGAGTCAGTGCAATACGATGTATCGCCCTGCAGCCACATCAAAACGCAAACATGACACTGTACGAGCATAATACGCTAATATAACAGTGCATACGGCGACGGTCGATCTGCCAGTCTGGGGAATGCATTTGTATTTGCCAGGACGACCATCTGCTTTTCATGAGAGATATAACCCCTCATGAACCCTTTATAGATCATGTTCGCCACGTAGCACTCGGCCTCCTCCTGTGGCACATCCATGCCCGCAATCTGCAGCGACGAGTGAAACAAGGACACTGGTATACGCGTCCCCCTTTCGGATGCTATCCATCTATATTCAGGTTAGGATAGATGGCGCCATAGAATTAGTCCGCTACATTTTCGGAGCATAGAAAAATGGAGGGACGTACACGCGCCGGAACAGCCCCCTAAGACAGAGCTCACGCGCTCGCTCAAGGGCCAACCAGAGATTCAAATCAACTAGTCGTCGTTCAAATGTTTCTAGCGCGACGTCATATGCCCTAATATCCCCTGTCCGCATTGCCGAGATGAAAGGTGAGAAGAGGTCGTCAAGTACTGGGAAACGGTCAAGCATATCCCGTGATGGGAGATGTCCGCGTAAGATGCGTAGAGGAATCAGGTACGTGAGTATTCGCCTGGGAGATAATAATCAGCGGGAACACATGATGATAGATCGAATGCACATACTCCTGATTGTTGTTAGCTTGTGTATAGCAATTGTAAAATGCGAGGGTCAGCTCCTGCTCAGACTGTGGGAGACGTCAGTTCACATGCAAAAGGAGTAAGAGGGTACATATATACACCTTTGCAAAGTCTTCGTTCAAAAAGCTGAGCATGCCGAGATAATACCTGTATGTAACCTATGCGTATTAAGAAGCGGCGCTACATGGTAGCCAGATACAAGGCTTACTTGATGTGATCGAGGATACTGCATTAATGGCGGGATATCGGGGTTTGCGTCGATGGCGCGCAAGATGTTTTTTGACAGCGATATTCGTTTCACCTTACATCCATCATTACAACCACGCACATACCTTAGTTAAGATAAAACTTTACACACCCGGAAATAGCATTTCAGAATTAGCCCTACCACATAATACACGCCCCACTTGCGGGATTCTTGATATGGCGATTGTCTGTTTGTCAACGCGTGAGCGGCAAACGAATGAGCACGCTACCCACACACCTGTCAGTTACGCAAGCTGAGAACGCTTTGCTAATAGTACGCGCAGCCTCTTCCATGCTTACAGTCCCTTCTTGACCCCTCGCACTTGCGTCCAAGTCAGCCTGAGGACGACGTCTTGAGATCGTGAACTAGTTAGTGCTGATGACATGACTCACATCGAATGCAAGGTCCCGTAGGTCTCTCAATATAGAGAATAGCGCAGGCAAAGTCCATCCACTGTTCTGAGAAAAGTATCGAAGAAATAGGCTGGACAGAAGATATCACAGCAACCTCAGGGGATGACAAGGTGTGAAATCAGCGTAGCTTACTTACGATACGAGGGTGCACTCCTCCTTAAATGCCTCTGTGGTTCTCTTCTTTGCACAGTGGTTCACTACCAATACATACTGAATGGCGATTTCGTCCCATGGGCTTTCCATACTTCCCTCATAGAAAGCGAGCGATTGACGCTAAGCTTCTCTGAGTAAGAGAGATGCTGCGTATCGAAGATGGCTACATACCGTTGGGTTTCTAAACTCTTTTACGAGCTGTTTTCCGTGGTCGCTGGTAGGTTTGAGCAAGTAGGCCAACTCAGGACCCTTCTCTTCCCGCAAAGCCTCGGCGATGTGGACGAGGAAGGTGGAGAACTTCATGGTTGTCATTTTGAACCCCCTCTCCCTTAGAGATGTGTCTTAAATTCAGATACAGAGAAACAGAGCCGCGGTGAATAAGAGTCGATAAGTTATTGAAGCCGGGGAGTTGAAGGTCTTAACAAACACGCCACGGCGTCTGTCTTGACTAGCTGTGGCTACTGAGCCGATCGCGCCAGCCACACCGAGGTGACTTGTCGCATCGCAAGATCTGCGACAATACAAAGTCCGCGGTAGGTTCTTCAAGTTACTCAAATTGAATCATGAATGGTCTCTATGTGAAATGTCCGGATTGAAATTTAATTGCAGAGTCACAAGTTGAATGTAACAGATACTAAGTATGATCCTAAAATGATATGTGCGCACTCCGGATCGATCACCACCGCCAGTGGAGTTTGATATCAAAGCTACCGCGGACTTCAACAGCCCAATATACTCCTTACCCCTCGAGTTCGTTCAGCGCTATTGGCCCACGACCACGACGACCACGACGACGTAGTACTACTATCGCACACTACTTGTACAGCCATGGCTCTGCAACCTTCTCTCCGTCCTCTCATTATCGCAGGCAAACATGATGCTCCGCACACGCTCGATGTCTTCCGTGCGTCTCATCGACTGTCCAGAAAAAGACGAAGCAGCTTATAGTCAGGATTACAGTCGATTATGTTTGCCCGTTCTCCGCCAAAATGGTGCTCGTCATCGATGGCGTGCTGAAGCCCCTTTTAGGCTCTGGCGGAAAGTACGATGGCAAGGTCAAGCTTATCTTCCGCCCACAGGTTCAACCGTGGCACGCTACCTCTACATATGTACATGAAGCCGGCCTTGCAGTCAGTTTTTTTGTTTTGTTTGCGGCTATCCGTGCTACGACTCATTCCCTCAGGCCGCCCGCGTCTCCCCCGAGAACTTTTGGAAGTTCGCAACCACTGTACGCGCTATCCCTCTTACCTGACCATATCTTCAAAACTGATCGACTTGTCCCCCCACGCACAGCTTTTTAAAAGACAGGGGGAATACTTCGACATCCCTGCTTCCACCATGACTCCTTTGCAGATCCGCGAGAAACTCGCAGAACTGGCCGGAGAGACACTCGGTCGCGATAAAGTAGGCGCGTTCCAACAACTCTTGGCACTCAAATCCACTCCCAATGGCGGAAATGGGGTGACCGACGACGTGAAGTACACCGGTAAGCGATTTGGTGGGAGGTGCAAGGTCACAGTATTCAATTGTCCCCACAGTGAAATTCGCGAGACAGAACGGGATACACGTTTCACCTACGGTGGTTTGGGATGGAGTCATTGCCGGCGAGATCTCCAGCTCTTGGGGTGAGAAAGAGTGGTCCGAGTTTTTGCAGCAGAAGGTCGCTGTATGAAGCCAATCCCCTTCCACGCGATGTGTCCAGTGCGGAGGTGCCTGTATTATAGTATGCAAGCTGTAACGTACGAAAAGAACCAACGTCATCCACCGTGCGATACATGTCCCGCTGCAGAGGAACACTATTCATTGCAGCATCTTGAGCAGTATTGCTCTGACAGCTTGTGCGTTGGCCGTTCCCCTGCTCGATTTCATCACACGCCCAACAATTTTGTTGATTACTTTATCATTCCCGCGGCGGACTGCATCCGCCTCCTGTGGTAAGGCTGCGATAGCCTCTGCGCACCATCTCTCTAATGCACTATCATCACTGCTGACAGCAAGTAGGGAGAATTTCTCAGCGAGTTTAGATGGCATCTCTTCCGAGCAGTGGTCCAGCATGTGGCGGAGAAGTGTTTTTCCAGACGTCCCTGGTGTAACATACCCTGTCATGCATTGACTATCAAACCTCTCAAGTTGAAAGGACGTACCGGTTAGACGTCCCTGTTGCACTATGTCAATCAGGTCGCCCAACTGTTCGGCTGAGATATGGTTATCTGAGAATGTCTCCCTCCGGAAAGCCAGCTGACCCAGCAGCTCGTGAGTGATCCTAAAATATAGGGAGGAGGGTTCACCACATATATATGAGTACGTAGTTTACGTCACCCACCAATTAACAACCACTTTTGGATCACGTCCCTGTGAAATCTGATCGAAGTAGGCGACAGCTCCTCGCCCTACCTCGCCATCAAATCTGACCTCGCGCCCCGAGTCGACTTCCATGAGGACGTCCGTATCTCTGCGAGATAGACCGAGTGCTTGCAACCGTGCTCGAGTTGCATCGGGCAACTCGGGCATCTCATTTCGCATCTTTTCAACATATGCCTTAAGAATTGTGAGCAGATCAGAGTGCACCAGATCATCACAATTTCAAACTTAGCATACCTCGTCAATCAGCAACGGTGGGAGATTAGGGTCTGGCATGTATCTGTAGTCCGGCGCATCCTCCTTACTGCGGAGCGAATATGTCTCGGCTTTATCCTCATTGAAACCCCGTGTCTCCTGAGCGACAGCTCGCCCACTTTCCAATAGGTCAATCTGTCGACGTACTTCCGAAGCTGAAGGACGAGGTTATTTAAGCTCATCGTTGGCATATTAAGGCAACTGCGATACAACATACTGATAGCCACCATCATGAACTTGACGCTATTCAAATTCTTGATCTCACAACGCGTTCCATGCGGAGCACCATGCCTATTGACCGAGACGTTGACGTCGCAGCGGAGCGATCCCTGAGGATGTTATGAGACCTTCGATAGCGAAACGATCATTAATCTGACCTGCTCCATGTTTCCATCGCTGGATCCTATCGATCGCACCAATGCCTGTAGCGTTCTAACATATTCACCTGCGTCTTCAGGAGATCTATACCAATATCCTAGTATCAGGACACGGAGAGAAAGTCACTCGTACACATATTAACCTGAGGTCGGGTTCAGAGACAATCTCCATTAGTCCTGTACCAGCTCTGTTGAGATCTATAGCCGAAATGCCTTCCCGTGAATCAAATGTAGATTTTCCTGTGTCCTACAGGGATGCATTCATGATGAGATAATTGAGAGACGTAAAAGTGCTACCTGTTCAAGTTGAATTTGCTTGATGCGGACGTACTTCTCTCGGTTTTCGAGTCGAAGACCGCCACTTGTCGCCAATGGAGCTGATTGGTAAAGGCTGAACGGTTGTCATAGCAAATAAATAGAATATCATCTCACCATAGTACTGGGTAATTTGATATCCAGCAGGAAGGTCTGCATAAAAATAATGTTTCCTGTCGAAGGCAGAGCGCGGCTCGATCTTGGCATTGAGTGCGAGTGCAGTCCTAACACCAAGTTCAACGCATCTGGGGTTCAATAGCTGCAGTATGTAGCTATCAACGGTTTTAATCACAGATGAAACCAAGAACGCGTAAATACAGGTAATGTCCCAGGAAATGCGGCGTCATATGGGGAAACCCGTGTGTTAGGCGGGAGCGTGTAGTCTGAAGTCCATGTGTCTTTAATATGACAGTAAATGCGGTTATTTTCGGCCAATTGAGTGGTAAATCCAACAATGAACTCACCAGAGAATAGCTTGCTTCGTGACTTGATTTGAGCATGCACTTCGATTCCAATTACGACATTCCACTCAGGCCATCGACTATCGTTCTGCGGGACACAAAATGCATGTAAAAGACGAGTATAACGCGTGATTTGCTTGAATCGCCGTGGTGTCCTGACGCGGGCCAGCATGAGACGGGCAGCAGTGTCCAAGGTGACTTGGATTGTTTAGGCGCCCGAGCTTGTGCGCTCTCCGGGTGTTGCCGCAGAGTGGGTGTGCTGACTTCCCAGTCGCTCAGACAAGCATCGAACCCACTCTGTCCCTCTCATCTCACCACATCCGATTTTCGACTCTCGCTGCGAACAAGAGCAGCCTGCCATGTCCACAACGAATGGGTAGGAACTTGGAAATTTAGCTTGTTGCGCCAGGTCCGCTTAACGATTTACAACAGAGCATTGGGCGTCACACCGCCCATATCGACGAGCGAGTCTAACGACAGAGAAAAAGAAGTAACAACTACGCTCATGGAGGAACTGAGGAGGCAGGGAACCTTTGAGACCGAGGAGGAGGCTAAAACGAGGTGCGTGGTGGTCTAGCTTTCTGTTGCAGCCATTCTACACTAGCCACACCACTGCCTGACGCCGTATATTCTGCCTCCTGAATTTGTGCGACTTGAGAGAAATTGCGTGTATCGATAACTGTTATATACGCTCGGGTTCGCCCCTTACATTGGCGCAAAGGATGGGGCATCACAAATTCTCATTTAAACTGGTCTAAAACTAAGATGTTGACGAGCGCCATTGTGGTTTCTTGATTGCAGAGAAATTGTGCTTGGCCGTCTCGCAGCCGTGGTGAAGAAATTTGTTCGGCGGGTCTCGCTCGCAAACGGGATGTCAGAGGCCGCTGCCAATGCCGCCGGAGGAAAGATATTCACCTTCGGTTCGTATCGACTAGGCGTTCATGGCCCCGGGTCGGATATCGACACACTTTGCGTCGTACCCAAACACGTCACTCGAGAAGACTTCTTCGACGTATTAGAGGAGATGCTCAAAGAGACTGAAGGTGTAACTGAAGTTTCGGTGCGTGTATTGACAGCATTCTTACATCTTGGGTTTAACACCCCTTTCAGGGTGTTCCCGAGGCCTATGTCCCCATTATTAAAACCAAGATTAATGGCATTCCCATCGATCTGACCATGGCTCGTCTAGCCCTGTCGTCAATACCTGACGATCTCTCCTTACAAGACGATAATCTGTTGCGAAATCTAGACGAGCGATGTGTTAGAAGTCTCAATGGTAAGTGTTAGTATACGATTGGCACTGTTACTCTCATTATTGTTATAGGTTCCCGTGTCACTGATGAGATTTTGCGGCTGGTGCCGAACGTCACTGTATTTCGAGATTCATTACGTTGTATTAAACTCTGGGCACAACGTATGTACCTCCTTTGATACATTACTGTATCTACCACTGACATTTACGAAGGGAGAGCCATTTACTCTAATGTGAATGGATTCTTGGGTGGTGTTGCTTGGGCTATGTTGGTTGCTCGTATATGTCAGCTGTACCCCAATGCAATCGCAGGAGCGATTGTCAGTCGATTTTTTATCATCATGTATCAATGGTCAGTAGTTCGCCCGCAACAGCAGCAGATGTATCAACATTCTGTTAGGTCTTGGCCGCAGCCTGTGCTTCTAAAGCAAATAGAAGAAGGTCCTTTGCCCGTCCGAGTATGGAATCCGAAGGTCAGGCTTCCTGCAGCATGACATACACTTCACACGATAACTGTCTGCTTTAGCTATACCCTGCGGATAGGGCGCATCGCATGCCAATTATTACACCTGCTTATCCATCAATGTGTGCCACTCACAATGTCACAGCGTCAACGCAGATGATCATGACAGAGGAATTTAAGAAAGGTTAGTTGTCTCAATCCCAGAAGGCGAGGGACTCAAACCCGCCCAGGTTCCGAGATTGTCGATAAGGTGATCGTAGGAACGGCGGAGTGGTCCGAGTTGTTTGCAAAACATGATTTCTTCCATAAACACCGGTATTATCTTCAAGTCATTGCTTCGACAGGAAACTCGGACTTGCAAATCAAGTGGTATGCGGGTCGTTATGTCGCGATTCAAGGGCCACTTTTGAGCGTTGTATGTGTGACAGGTCAGGTACTGTGGAATCACGAATACGACAGCTAGTGATGAAGCTGGAGTATGTTGAATCACTCATCTTGGCACATCCATTCATCAAAGGTTTCGAGCAAGTCTCTCACTGCATATCGAGCGAAGAAGTCCGAGCGGTAGCCCAAGGCGAAGTCTCTGAAGCGGTGTCAAAACGCAGAAAGGAAGATATTGAAGGCAAAGAAGGCGCAAGTACCGTTTATTCTACTACGTTCTACATTGGTCTTTTGATTGAGCCGAAGCTACGTGCGTCTTGACAAAAATTTTACCTCGTTGAGTGCGGATGATATCGACTTACTTCCCTTGGTATGAAGCTGGCTCAAGTGGCCCCCGCAAGTTGGACATTTCCTATCCCACAACAGAGTTCACAAAGCTGGTCAAGATGTGGGAGAAATACGACGAGGCCAAGATGGGAATCATAGTTCGACATATAAAAAGGTATAATTTTTGGCTCAGGGACTTGGTCTGTCGACTGACGCTTTCTAGCACTGCATTACCGGATTATGTCTATGATGAAGGCGAACGACAGCCCCGATCGGCACAAAAAAGAGTGAAGTCCGGAAAGGTGTGTGGTCGATATGTATATGTTGTTAGTGGATCATTCTGACCACCCATAAATCATTCTGTCAAGGGCTCGGATAAGTCAAACGGCACTTCCCCTGACATGCCGAACAAGAAGCGACGGTTGGTGCAGTAGCCCAATATTACTGTTCTCCCTAATCTTCCCGTCTGGCGCCGTTTGCAGCGCGTCAAATTCACTGTCCGAGTCAACTTCCACAATGCCCCTCCCGATGCAACCGTTCAAGAAAGCAGCCGTTTCATCCCCTACGGGCGCCATTGTTGCCGCTACCGATACATCAAGTAATGGAATCTATAGCTCAAGTATCAAGGATCCATCCCATATCAAGTCGCCACATCTGCCACTTGGTGAAAACGTTGCAGTTGCCACCAGCGTGGCACCAGTGGCACCATAGCATTGAACTACCTGACATTTTTTAATTTTCTTTGGCCCATCTGTCTAAGCATGACTTCGCAAACGACGAAGATTAGCACAAGGAGGTCTTCGCAAATTCATGCGTCTTTCTCTACATTATAAATCGTCTTTGGTTTGGTTATTCATCTCTTGTTCGGCCCAACAGGTAGCAGCGCTGGCCTTGATGTGGATGGTCCTGTGCTCGAGAGAGCTGTCTTTAACGACATGTTGTTTCGAGTGCATCGCGGTCTCTTCATCTGCCGGCAACGTCCTGACCTTGAAGACCATAATACTCTTGTATCCTTCGTAAACAATCAGTAGCTGCTGTGTATTGTACTACTTCATGCACCTATGATTATCTCATTCGGACGAGCTCCTATGCGATCCTGGGCTCAGCTACCGTGGGCAGACCTTTGAATAAGATCCCCCTTTGGGGGGAAATATAAATGACATCAACTGAAGATAGCACTAGCGTAATCTAGAATCATTCCTACATAGTAAAGCTAATAGTACATATACAGTGTCTATGAGTCTACAGTCTATGCATGGGTGTAGGAGAATAAGCTGTGAGCAAAATCTACCCGGGTGTAAACTAGTACATTCCTACGCATGAGATAGAGGTATCAGCGACAGTTCATAAATCGTACAACAACAGTTCAGATAATAGAGCAATAAATATCCGTCCAAATAAGGAGACTCGTGAGTGTTCATGTTCAGTATTTTTGTCGCCAGGGATTGGCTTTGGCCGCAGCGCGTCGGAGAGCCCATCGCCTGGTGAAGTACGTCGCCACCGCAATTGCAACAACGCCGAGGATAACACCAATAGCAATGCCTGCCTTCGCGCCGGACGACAAACCGTGATTGCTCGACGGAGACGAGGGTAGCGGGGACGGATTTGCCGGGTTGCCACCGAAGGGCCAGTAGTCACCGCCTTCCGGAGGGAGAATACATGTCAAACTGTCGCCGTCGCTGACATTCTGGAAGTCAAACTGTTCGGTGGAGAGTTGGACGTTATTCTGGTCGATAACGAACGGAGTGGGCGTCGGGACCGCGTCGCTCGCGGTGCAATTTGGACCGCGGGCGCCAATAAAAGTCGTGTTCCCGACCAGGACGTTGTTTTCGACAGTGAAGTTGTATGCGGAGGACATCGCAATGGCATACCCGAATGCGCCTGTGAGCTGATTGTTGAGAACGGTGCCTGAGGCACTGACATTATTCCCGTATTCATTGCCGAACCAGGTGCGTGGACCAATGGCAATACCAATCCTGCAGGCAACGTCAGTGTCAGCGGACAAGACGACGCAAGCATACTTACTTGATGATCACATCGTCCTTATTAGTGCCGTATGTTTGGTTAGAAAGTTCCTTGCTGGTGGCAAAGCCGCCTCGTATAGTGTTGTTTCGTACAATCGTGTTCGTAAAATTACCCTTCCATGGTTCATAATCTACCATATTGATTCCACCTAGAAGTGTGTTCTGGAAGGGCGGTCAAAAGGGGTCACAGGCACATTTAGATGTCTACACTCACGTTCTCCACCCATATCGTGTTATTCTCAACTAGAGTACCAGGAGAACCAAAAACGACGATACCACCATCCTGTTGTGCAATCAGAATCAGATGCCATCAAATGGCAAACCGACTTACCGTTGGGTTGTTAACCATGTTGTTGCGTACCAGGGTATTCATGCAGCTTATACTGAGACCATCTGACCACTGTTGGAATGCATCATTTCCGCATGGACCAATATCATTGTTCTGAACAGTCGCATTGGTGCACTGGAAGGTGCCTTCTGCGACATGTAGACACGACCAGCCTCTGGGGTCAAACGAGCGGACATATTCGATCAGTTGACCAGAATTATCACCACCCATCTCGATGTTGGCTCCACCGGCTATTTCGCTCCCGCCCAAGCGAGACCCATTGATCTAATAGAGCAAAAATATGAGTGAAAGAAGTTTCGTATTTTAGCCAGCACTATGAACTTACTTGGATATTGCGCAACTTGATCCCGTCACAGTCCGCGCAATTCCCGACGATAGCAGATGTTTGTCCAGTATTGTTGACTACTTCTCCGGATACAACTAATGTTGCGCGTTCGTCTCCGGTCGGGTATCCGACGGTGCTAATCTCTTGGTCGTGTGCAGTAAACGTTAAAGGGGCCGTGATGTAGTACTGAGTGCTAGGGCATAACGGTAGCGTATATCCAGGCCCGGATGAGTTGAGCAGCGTGTTCAGTCGGTCAGTGACGGTATTCTGAGGGTCAGAAGGCTCGCAGTCGCTGCGAGGGTGCAGCCCGGGCGGGACTCTAGCAATGTAGTGAGCGACACGATGGTGCATGTTTGAAAGATCGTGGTCTACCTGGGGAACAAATCGAGACTGCGTGCGACATGTCTCCGATGATGGAGTGTGCCGGTTACAAACCTGGCTGATGTGCTCGCAAAGAGGACTGTTGAGATGAAAAGGAGTGATAGATGGGGGGAGAGCATCATAGAGTGTTGTCAGCCAGGACAAGACGAGGTCGGGTAAAATACAGAGAACGAGTATAAAAAGAAAGAAAGAAAAGAGCGGCAACAGTGCGCCGATTGAAGACAAGAGAGCCTTGAAGACGAGGAGGACAATGCGCTTGGTGGCGAGCAACGACCGCCACGCTTGTTACCATATATGGTAATACTTATTATCCCCGCCAATGCCGCCTCGCGTTCTGCTCGCGTTCGACACTCCTCATTGTTCCCGCCGTCGTTCTGCTCGCCTTTGGCGCTCCTCATTGTCCCCGCCGTCGCTTTCTGCCCTTGCATCTATCTAAATCAGATGAATCCTACTCTTTGTTCGCGGAGTCTTGGCCGTATACTATGACAGCTACAGCAGCGCGCTCTATATCTCATGATGTCCTCATCTCATCATTCTGAGCGAGGACGCAGCTGCGATACGTTCGTCTCATCCTAGGGGCTCTGCTGTCACGCTATAAAATCATCACAATTCACTCTACAAAGTGCTTACTAGAAAACCTGCTTCATGCGAATTCAAATACGACCGTACCACTGGGCAGGCCGCCCCCAGGCTGTGCGATAGATGTCTGGAGACGAACATGGTGATTTGGTACCTATCAAGGAGCACTGGAGACCCCATATTGTGCTTCTCGCTGTCTAACCGCACTTTATCATCGCTTTCCTGTGACCGATCCTTCCCCAATTCGACGAATTAAATACGCGCAGTGTCGCCTGTGAGTGTTTTTCCTATTCGTCGTGCTCCGTACTTGGATTATGGTGATATGTTGGCATTGCCTCTGCGGCCTTGCAGACGAGATCATTAGAAGCTCTGGGCAAGATTTAGGGTGTGGAAACGTAGTGCAGGGCCTCTCCATTTCCGTGCCTGCGTCCGCCAAAAAACCTCCGATCTGAATCCACTTCGTAGCCCAGATACGCATGAGCAAGCAGCTATATGGGCCACATGATTATCACGTCTTCCGTGCCGAACATGAAGTTGACATATTACTCCCCACACCGAGTGCTGCGGTGTATGAATTCGAGCGTTGCGCGGCATTTGCTGAGGTCGTACTTCCATTCTCTGGCGCGACATCGCAGTCACCTGGTATCCGCTCGAGCATTTGCAATAAATGCATTGATTGCCCTGGCAGTACAACCAGTGTCACGGTTTTTCGACTGGCGTCACATGTGCCGCCTGCCTGAGGATTGCCGCACGCGGAGTACGAGACGGGGGGGTGCAGTGTTGGGATGCTGCATTACACCTCTCCGAAATGCTACCTCATCATATCTCCAGATGTGGCAGCTCGCTTGAAGCTCCACGGTTCTGCATCGCCTGTTAAGGGGCCTGCATTGCTCCGCGCGTATCGAATGCACCGGTGTCTCTGACAGGCTCCCATCTGCGATGTATAAATCCGGGTATGTGAGGTCAATTGGCTCGGACGGTGTATGTGGAGGCGATGCAGATGACGAGACGAGTCATATCCGGTCATTGTGGGCAATGAACCTTGTATGACAGATGGACTATCGAACGCGCTCGCTCTCTGGGAGCTTTGTGTGGCTGGAGCGGCAATGTGCTCACCATCCCTTCGGCTGCGACGCCAACGCTGTGTAGATGGTGATTGCGAAGCAAGCGGACTGCCAGATGCTGTGAATCCATGCAAGCCATTGGCTGACTCTTATCCCTCTCGAGCGCGAGCATCCATGCGCGAAGCTGGTTCATTGACCTCCGCCTACACTCTTCCTGATCCTGATGAGATGCAAGTTCTGTACGTATTGCACAGCTTCAGGAAGATATCACTCGCTGAGCCTCGTCGAATCCCTCGACCGTCCATGGGCCCCTTTGCTATCAACGCCAACAAGTTCCAGCCAGTTCAGCCATAGATTCCGATCACAGCAATGCGTTCCTCCGCACACATCCTCGCCCCACTTCTGTCTTTGCATAGGCGACAGAATCTCTGTCATGCGGACCCCGATCTGAATATAGGCCTTTGCATCATCTTTATGCGCGATGGGCCCGCATTGCTCTCCCGGCGGCATTTCGCCTTGCGCTAGCCGGTGATTTGGGCCCTGTCTACCCACTGCCAATGGCTTTTTGCTCACCCATGATTGGACAAACGTGCTCCTCGCTATCTCAAGTCCAGTGGCAAACGGCACTGCGCATGCCTGCGGATTCCGGAGATATGGACGAGCTTCATTCAGAATGTGGGCTAGACCTGGGGCTTGATCTGTCGGGTTAGTCCACCCCTTACTACGTATATACCCACGCGCGTCCAAGGCACCTCGTGCTTGTGAGATCCGTCTTTTATCAGCCGATTCAATGGACCGTTTCGTGTGTAGCGGGGGGTAGGTAAGCAGCAGCGTCGGAGTCGCTTGGAATGCTAATAGGGCACGGTGATTTCGAGAACTTGGCCACAAAGAGTACAAATGATCACTTTCCAAGATATTGAATTGGATGCAGTTTAGTTACATGATGGGAAGATAATGGAACTGCTCGCTAGTTGAAGTGCGGCGCGGAATGTCACGATACAACAGCGACCGACGCGCCGAGAGAGCAGTGGCGTAACGCATCCAAAGGTCTGGTATTTGCAAAGCGGCGTGGCGGAACACCACAGCATCACAGCATCGATGAAGCGCGTGGTTCAGTCATCATCCCTACGGCGTCGTGACGGGAGTGTTCGGTCATGGTCATGACCGTGACTCTCGCGGTCGTAGTGGGACCCCGTCGCACGCCTGTCGTCGTAGGGCCTAAAGCCCGGTGAATGCGAACGCAGCTCTTGAGCTTGAGCACCCCGTGCGGGAGACCGATTGCGTGACTGGCTTCGCCTTCTATCCGGGGAGTAACGAGCCCTGCGGCTCTCTCCGTCCCTCTCACGGAGCGGACTTCTGCTGCCCGAGCGCATCCTACGCGCCGGGGAGCGGCTACCATATCGGTGGTCTGCACGGTTTCCAGCCCTGCTGTCGAGCGATTTGAGCAAGTCCTCAATGCCCCTGACCCCTGCGGACTTGCCCGCCTTTCGTAGCTTTTTGCGCTCCTTGCGGGCACGCCGTTCCTCTGGGGTCTCGCCCTGGTGCTTACTCTTTCCCTTCGAATTCAACTTGCCCTTTTTTGACCGTTTCAGGGCCCTCTCCTCCTTCCTCTTCGCGACTAGGTACTCGTACATGGGATCCTCTGGGTCTATTGGTGGACCCGAGTCCACAGACGAGTCTGACTCCGCATCGTCTTCTGTGGCGTATTTTTGCTGCCGTGAGTGCGCGATAAGGGTCAGTAGGACATGAAACGGACCAATAATCATCTCAGGTTTTGCATTGAAACTCTGCTCCTCCCTCTCCTGCCATTCGCCATCTTCACCCTTCACCTTGGGCTGCTTGTAGTCCTTCACATGGTCAACACGCAAAGTCCTCTCTAGGACATTTGCACTGTTCAGATTGTCTACCGCGAGGATAGTTGAGCGCTGGTCCTCGTACATTAGGAATGCGAAGCCCCTGGTCTTCCCCGTGGCCTTGTCACGAGGCATGTTTACGTCCATGACCTCGCCGTATCTGCGAAGAGGGAATCGAGGGTGGGCGGAGTGAAGAGAGGCGGAGTGAGACGGCCTACTGAGAGAATATTGTGATGACATCCCCTTCGGTCAAGTCAGAATGAAGACCTCCAATGAAGATGTATGCAGAGTCTGTTCATTGTTGTTCAGGAGAAATACGCACGCTTCTTTAGTCACCACCAGGTGGAAAACGCACGAACGCACCTTTATAGTCGTCATGCCAGGAGCCTGTCCCGCCAAGGTCGAGCTCGCGTTCGTTGATCTTGTTAATCTCACGAACGACGCTGTCATGTATGTGTCAGTACTTGGGAATCTCGAAGTGATATGGCTTACTTCATGGCCGTGAGACGACTTGAATGAGCAATGAGTTGAAGAAGAGTGGTCGACGCTGTCCGAGTCGAACCCGCTTCCGCGTCGGGGCGCGTACCATAACGAGCACGTGCCCGACGATCGAAGTGGCAATTTTCGGTCACAGATCACTGTGCTTGCTCTACTCTTTCAACGATCTACAGGACACTCATGGCTTCATTCTCACTGCCGCCTATCAACGACAATCCGGATGGAGGCTGGGGGCCATCATCCTCCAATCTGCCCGCGCAATTCAAGTTCAAAGATATTCCGTACGCTCCGTACTCCAAGTCAGACAAGCTCGGTCGATTTGCCGACTGGAACGACATATCTGGCGACAATCGTCAAAATGTAGGCGTTGCATCTGCTCAGGCAACTGCTCGTGGAAGTGGCCCCGGAAATCGGGGAAGGAGGGACGGTCAACAGGCATTTGGCAGCGGTACTGCCAGTGCATTCGCGTACTTCCATGCTGAGGACGAATCGAGTTTCTCACTTGTGGATACCAAGACAAATGCAGCGCGCAGGGGGGGACCCCTCGGCAGAGGCAGAGGTGCTGGTAGAGGTGGCGCCGCTTCCAGGGGGGGCGGCCAACGAGGTGGACGCGGTGGATTTACCGGGGGACGGGGCGGCAACAATGCCCAACGGGGCGGAAGGAGGGGCTGGAGAGATTGGGAAAAGGTATGTGCACATTTTCGTGTTCACGGCCATTCTCATTTGCTGAGTGCACTAGAACAACCGTGCGCGCGAGTCCTCAGTTGCTATCTCTCCCGATTGGTCTATGCTCGAGGAGGTCGAGTTTCATCGTCTTGCAAAACTGCGGCTGGAAGTTGATGAGCCTGAAGACCTGTGAGTATTTGTCCTATTTTCAATGCACACTTGGCTGGAACTGATCACTGTGCAGGGATTCGTACGGGCGGTTGTTCGCGTACGAGAAATCCTACGATCGTATCACAACAAAAACGGAGAAGCCTCTCCAATTGGTTGATCGGATTAAGTACAATACGACCACTTCAGACGATCCTGTAATCCAGGAGGTTAGCGACCCTACTCACTACCCGCGTGGATAAAAATACTTACCGAGGCCTTCTCCATTGACAGTTGGCATCAAGGGACACAGCTACGGTGTATACCACGGACGTTATCCTCAGTGTTCTCATGTGCGCACCACGTTCGGTGTATCCATGGGACATTGTCATAGTTCGCGAAGGGAACAAACTATTCTTCGACAAACGTGACGGCGGTCCGTTTGATACCGTGACCGTTAACGAGAATGCCGCCGATCCTCCGCAGGATGCCACAACCGTGAACCCGAACAATCCCAACGAAAAAGTCGCGGTTCCAGAGACCCCGTCCATCAACACGGCCACATCGCTGTCTCTCGAAGCCACTTACATTAACCAGAACTTCGGTTTCCAGTCTGTCATTGAGACTCCTCCCCCACCGCCCGTGGACTTCGCGAAGCCGAACCCCTTCTACGGGCCAGATGAGACGGAGCCCCTTGCATCATGTGGGTACCGCTATCGTGTGTTCGACCTTGGTATCACAGAGGATGAGGACGTCAGAATTTGCGTCCGGACGGAAGTAGATGCGTATACGCCAGGGCAAGGAAACCCTCGTGCCGGCCAGGGCCTGGTCACAATCCGCGCCCTGAATGAATTCGACTCTCGTGCCTTGGGTGCGGGTGGTGCGCCGGACTGGCGCGCGAAGCTGGACTCACAGCGCGGCGCAGTTGTTGCCACTGAAATGAAGAACAACAGCTGCAAGCTCGCGAAATGGACCGTGCAGAGCGTGCTCGCTGGTGCAGAGCTGCTAAAGATTGGGTAAGCCACTTGTACACAATCATTCAAAATTCCCGTGGAGTGGGCGAGGGGGATGCCTCCCGTCCATTATCTGTCTCAACCGCGCTCATCGTTCAGCGGTTGTCTGTGCGCAACGATCGCTAACCCAACGGTCCACGTCTAGATTCATTTCTCGTGTAAACCCCCGGGACAATACCCGACATGTCATCCTGAGCACGACATCCACGCGTCCCATGGACTTTGCCGCGCAGCTGAACGTGTCCCTTGCCAACGGCTGGGGGATTGTTCGCACAGTCACGGATATGTGTATGAAGCAACCCGAGGGCAAGTATGTCCTGGTCAAGGACCCAAACAAGGTAAGGCCTCGTATTCATGTTTGCTGCCCGTCCTCGGCCGCCATCATTGGTTAGAGAATTCAAGGCAGTGCGTCATGGATGATTTGTGCGGCGGCTTGGGCCGTGCTACACCCGCGAGTTCGTTGCCAACCTCGCCGTTGCGACACTTCCCAGTGCCTTCTCTAATCTGCGGTGGACGAGGTCTCATGTGCTTGTCTATACCATTGGTTTGGGACGGCAAGTGGTACATTGGTTCTTCCAGTGGCATCTCTTACAACGCTGTCTTTGAGCTCGAAGACTTACATTTTTTGCTTTATTGTAGCCGGTAATCCGGCTCTACGCCGTGCCAATGAATGCGTTCACCGGCGAGGACGAAGACGACGAAGGCGCTTTCGACGGCGAGGAACCCGACTCCGCTGTCGCTTGAAGTCGAGTCAGCATCTGTCGTGTTGTGTATTACCTGCATGTAACATGTGTATCCCCGTGCTACCTGTATCTGTACCTCGAATCATTCACGGCGCACAAAAAAATCAGAACACCAATGTGCCACCTCGAGATTTGCTGTGTTCCCAGCTTACGTCTACGCTCCCGTACGCACGAATATGCGCGCACGGTTATCAGACCCTTTCAGCATCAGTCCTCTCCCGCACAAAATCCTATCGCTTGTGCTACAGTTTCAAATGTGTGCAGTCTTCCAGAGATGCGACCGCTGCTGTGGATGGGCCCACGCCCATCCTGCCCGCACTTACTCATTCTGCACTTAAGCGACGCGGATGAGAACGAGGGCCGACGAGATGGCTGATCTGGAGATGCAGCTTTTAGCACGGAAGCACGTCGGCAGGCACGCCCGACAAGGCGCGCGCGGGTGCAGCGACGCGCCCGGCAAGCAAGCACGCAATCCCCGCTCCAGGCGCGGACACTCTGCACGGTTGGCAGGCCACGGCGAGGAGCTTGCGTCGAGAAGATCGTTGGAGGGGCGTATCCGCGCACAGCGTTGCACGCACTGCGGGCTGACAGGATCCCTCGGCCCCAGAGCGTGTGGCGGCAATCAATCTCTGCGCTGCGACACACCGAATCTCCAAGATCCAAGGGGGCCTCTCTTGGCTGATAGGCACGCCACGACATGCGTCACGCTCATGGTGGCGGCGATGTGCATCTTGCCGGGCGACGGAGGGGGCTGCTTACCGGGCCCGCGCGGCGAGAGGCCCCGCTAAGCCAGCCTGGGAGATCACTGCATCAGCGGAAGCCACCACCAATCCATATACGGCCGTGCAATGGTACAGAATGATATGCACAGATGAGGCTCATTTCGTGCGGCCAAGGCGCTCCCACCCCGCTACACGTCACGCAGAGCTGCAGTCGGCTAGTGGCCTCTAGTGGTAAGACGTGCCGGAAGCCAAATGCCACGGGTGCCATGGCGACGATGCATACAGCCCAGACTATGGTGTCTGCCAATGAGTGCGGACATGGAGCGGGATCACGTCTGGGAACTGAGGAGGATTGCGGCCGCAGCTTCGATGTTCGGGCTGGAAGGCAAGCGTGAGTATGCGTCGCATCAGGCCCACGACGAAACGCATCCCCAGTGCAGCCCGAATGTGTTTACAGCATCCGCGTCAAAGTGAAACGGATGCAGTCGGACTGGAGGGAAGCAAGAGAGGGGGGAAAAAAACTGGGAGGGGACACGACGGCTCACCTTCTGTGCATGACATCCGTGATCACATTCCGCCCGACGTTCGGGAACATCGCGGTCAGCGTCTGGATATCAGAGAGCCTCTGGTCCGCCCTGGTCGCGCGCCGCTCAGCTGGCCGTTCCGAGACCGACGTTGTCTGCGCGCGATGCTGGCGTGCGGTCGTTACCACCTCAGAATCCTCCGCGGCCTCCGATGACTGAGCTCTGCGGTTCTGCCGCTGCTCGGGAAGCACTCGATTCGTGCGCCGGATCGCCTTTTCCGCGCCGAGCAGCGGGGCCAGACTCTCCGCAAAACGTCGGATCCTAATGAGATTGGCGTTATTCTCCAGTCGTGAGCGGGGGGACTCGGGCTGCTGACCTATATGGCACCCTCCAGCTCTTTAGCTGGAGGATGTCCGATCGGTAAACGTAACCCGAGAGGAGGCCGACCGCGACCGGTATCGAGCCGGATGGAAAATGCAGTATGAAAAGCTAGATGGACGGTTAGTTCCTGGTTTCACAGACGGACGGAGCTACAAAAAAACGCAGAGCAGACCGGCTGGTTCTCTCTCTTGGGGCGCAGTTCTCGGGGGGGCGCATCCGGCTTACCTGTGCAGCTAGAGCATACAGCCAGATCTTGTCGCTGAACACAACCCCGAAGACTTTCATTTGGTAAGCCTGCGGGACCAGTCGCATGTACTGGTATAATATGGCGAAGACTATGGAGATGGGCCCCGAGGGAATTCGGTTGAAGAGCACGCCAGCGGGAGGGACCACTTGGAGTGCGAGAAGCGAGAGAAATGTGGTAATGGTGGACACGAGCGTCGTGACGACTAGAAACGACTGGCCCGGGAGTGCGTGAAGAGCGGTCCGCGCATCAGCACAGTAATGCTCACTGCATATTTAGAGCTTCCAAAGGAACGTTCGATGTGGACCCCCGCGTTGAACAACAAGAGAAGGATGAGGAAGACGTCGCTCGAGTTGGCACAGGCAATGTGGTGGCTCAATAATCGCCAGTACTACGGTTGTGCGGCGCCTTTAAAATTGGCTCATTTTTACGAGCTTAAATTAAGTTACTCACTTGATGGTGCTTGGAGATGTGAGGTACGAGCTGCAAGTGCAGATGATGTTGGACATTGAATATCCCTGTTGCCGCAGAGACAGTCACAATTCCTATCATCAACCCTGTTCGCAGCGGGGCCCAGAGGGGTCATGTACAGTCAATAGTATACGGCCAGTAATCTTACCTTTGGTGACCAAAGCATTTTCGAACGACATTACTTGCAGTACTAACGGCTGCCAGGGGGAATACGGGATTTGCTCAAGCGCGCGAACGCGTCACGATCACGAGGAGAAAGGAGAACAAGCGCGCGAATACCGTGAGACTTGTCACGAGGCTGCTATCCCCTGCCGACTTTCCCGCATGAACGTCTTCGCGCTCCTGCTTACTGCCGTATTTTTTTGTTCAAGCGTGAAAGCTCCGATACAATTGGCTCAGCGCCATACGACATGTCTTTCTTCTATTGTTGTTTTTTTTTTCCCGCCGTCTCGTATCTGGCCCAAATTTTTATACGCTTCCTGCAAATTAAGAGGGCCTCCGGTTCGTATCTGCACCGGTCGTTCACACTAGCTTGAAGTATCGATGCCAAGGCTCGCGGTCGGCGCGAGTTAATATGACCACTCGGCGGCGCGGTAAATGCGGGACTGGATGCTCGGAACTCTGGGCACTGGCGCCAGAAGGGTCCGTGGACGTCGCTGCGCTGGACACGACTCGCGAGGGGGGCCCAATGCGGCCCAGCTCGAGTTTTGGGTTCGGTGCACGGCCGTGACGTGAGTGGACTTCTTATCTCGGGATTTTGGGTGCAGTCCCCCCGCTGCGTGTTCCTGAACCTTCACTCTGGTAGGCTGTGCGGCGAGAAGCGAAAGGGTGTGTCATCATGTGCTCACGTCAGTGTCCTTTCTCGTCGTCCGAACCGGGCTTTTTTTTTTTTT